GGCTTCACGACTTGATATGTCGTGACATGTTATGAGACGTGGAAGGAAGGGACAGGTGACGTTCGTGTTCATTTCTTGATTCCAAGTTTTGAGCTTAGATGATACCAGAGCCATTACGGCGCCGGCAGTATGAACTTGAGTACTTCGAAACGATGCCGCCCTTGGTCGCAAGGTTTGACACGATACCCATCTCCTATGATGGCTGCTCGATGTCAAGGACTGGAGTTCAGAATTAGTAGTACTCTCCACACATGGAAAAACACAGAGCAGAGTTTTAATTGCAATTTAGAGATACGTTGATGCTAGATAATGTAGTAGAGAGGCGGGATAGATGGCACGGCGGATACGTCGGGCAAACTTACCTTGCCAAAGAGCAAAAAATATACGGTTTGCAACAAGTCGTATATTCGCAAGGGCGGAAGATGAGGATATACTATAGTAGGCTCAGTTAATATCGGAACGTCGGCGTCCAACGGGATTGCCGTACTTGCATTCGGAGACGGCAGCAATGGCAGCAAGTACAGCAGCTCTGTTTTACTTCTCTATCTCGAATGCCGAGCCGGATCCTGTGACGGCGCGGCTCAACCGCTGGTTAGCATTGCTCCTATGGCTGCATGGTTCTTGGCAGTGCACAGTATATCCTTTGCGCCGCAGCCATCCTTTGTATTCTAGTTCCTCGTCTTTCGATCTTCATTCAATAGTAGGGTCATTGTCGCTTTGTCGCATTCCTTCCCTCTATTCGCCGTGACAGATCCGGCCATCCGGATATGCTCAGAGCGGAAGCCTGGCGGACACTCGCATCTCTCGGTCGTGATCTCCGGACGACAACGCACGCAAAAGGATAAACCGCTCTTTCCAACCCCAAGAACACCTTCGCCGCTCGCAAATAGGAAAGGTAATACAACCAAGTCTCCGAAAAGAGAAAAGAAGAAAAGAGGCCAAAAAAATATGTGTACCGAAGTACACTGAGACAACCCCCGTAACCCAGCTGGAAACGCGACCCCTATTCTTCCCCCCAAGTACCCTCAAACGATCCCACTATCCCCTCCAGCTTCGCCGGTCTGGTTACTCGACCGAGGCCAGCTCCATCTGAAGGGTCGAAGAATATCGCGTTTCCCAAAGAAGTGAGATCTTTTTGGCCAATCCAATGGATCGATGGTGCGCTTTGCGACTTTGCTTCTGCCGTAGCAGGTGGTTTTTTTCTTTGTTCTCTTCTGTCTTAGCGGAGCGTCGCATTCCAGTTATCTTCTTTGCGCTCTATTTGCAGCGGAGGCTGACGCTGTAGCTTTGCTCTCTATTCTGTGCGGAGGCGGACGCTCGTTCTTTTCTCTTTTGGGAGTTTGCCTTTTGTTCGTTTCGAACCGGCGCTTTCTCGAGGTTTGGTATGGGCATAGCAGTGGTTGAGACCACTGCGCCATTCTGCTTTTCGGCTGATTGCTGGGCACGGGGATTGTCTTTGGTGATGGAAGGAGGGGCTGGAAGATGGGCTTATATACTGCACGTGAAGGTTGATTTGAGGGGGAAGGTACGTGGGAGGGTGAAGCACGGGGCGGGAGTGCTGCAGCCTGCGGGCAGATAAAATGATAAGGTGGGTGGATGGGACATTCGGAGGGAAGGTGCGACCGCAGACCGAAGGCTAGACGAAACACCACGGATGAGATCTATACGACATTAGAGAAGAACCTTCGCAAAATGTGAAAATTATTGCTGCTTTGCGGACAGTCTGTTCAGGGAGGTTAATGGGCGTATGTATAGGTAAAGAAGAGACGGATAGTAAGACACTCGGTGATATCTTCTTCTTTCTCTCTTGAATACCAACAGGAGCGACTGCTTCGGTTTAATCTATCACTCGATGTTCATTCGGAGCTGTGGCACCGCGGTGCTGGACCACGAACCAGAATAATAAGGGCACACTGAGCCGGAAAGAGAAGTTGGGATATGTTATGGAAGACATGTTCGTCTGATTTGTTGGGAAGCAGAAGACCACTGATACAACTCATAGTAGTACTAGAAACTAGTGTAAATCCGACTTTGATATCCTCGATATTCGCCCAAAGGAAACGGCAGAAGCCCTGAGACAGATATGTATTTGCCTCGCGTTAGAGGCTCCGAGGTTGGGCCTGGTGTGTACCCGAAACATTGTCGACGTAGACCTTCAAGCTTCCTCGCCATCCACAACTTGTCGATGCTCTCTCATCTACTCAACTAACCACTCCTCAACCTCCACTCCCATACTCCTCCCTAACCCCCTCACCACCTCCCATCCAACATTACACCTCCACTTGCCTCCCCTATCCATCTGATCACCCGCCACGCCTCCCGCTGCCGCACCGCCGACTCTGATCAACAACCTCAAGCTCGCCAACGTGGCAATAGCCATCTCAATATCCGCATCCATCTCCCTGTTGCTAACATCCTTGTCCAGCCACTTAGGATCCCACTCGCCCCTCACAGCCGTAAAGATAGCCAGCATGCGCTCCAACACAAACGCGTGAGCACCGAGCAACTTGCGAGCAATCTTGCGGTGCTTGCTCTGCGCGCCGCGATGTCCACCTCTTCCCATGCCAACCGAAAGCCCACCGCGCCGCTTGCGCCGGCCGTGGTGGAAGGTGGAGAAGAGGACCAGGTCATGGCGGGTGGGATTGTGCGAGGCGAGGTAGGAGGCCAGGAGCAGGAGGCGAGCAGTGGGCGGGAGGAGGGTGGAAAGGTCGGTTGTAGTTGCTGAGACGAAGGGATTGGCTGTGGATTTGGGTTTGGAGGGAGTTGTGGTGGTGGATTGGACCTTTCGGGGTGTGTTGGCTTGGGATGGTGGTGCTGATGGCAAGGCGGCAGTGTTGTCTTTTGCCTGAGCCTGGGTCGTTGTTGACGACGAAGAGTAGGACTGTATGGCTACGATGCCGGGGTCCAAGAGGGATTCATCTTGGAAGTGGACGCGGGCGGCTACCATCAGCTTGGAGAACTCTCGGGGAGCGTGTGTGCCGGCGAGGATGGGCGCCGTGAAGCGCGGCCAAAGGGATGTGCAGGCATGTTGGAGCGAGGGAAGAGTTCGAGAGGCGGCACGAGCCAGAGCATCGTGAACGGCTCCTGTGAAACGATTCCATAGCTCTGTTGTCTCTTGTATGGTCGTTGTGGGAAGTGGTGCCGTAGGTAACGAGGTCGTGTTCAGAATGGTGACGAACTCATTCTTGGTGTAGTTCGGGAACTCTATACAAGGGACGAAGGATGTTCGAAGAAAGCTTGCCGGGGGCGATGTGGCAATGAAGACGCTCGTTATACGAGGGATCTGAAGAGAGAGATGTTAGCTAGACTACTTTGAGGAAGTGTGCTAGAAGACTCACAATCTCGGAAAGCCTAGCCAGTGCTGGGAGGAGCGTAATGGGCGCCTCTCGTGGGCGATCGATGCCGTCGAAGACAAGTACGAAGCGGAAGTTATCAGGATATGAAGGGTATTTGAGCATCTTGGACAGCTCGACAACCATTTGCGAGACCGAGTCGCATCTTGTAGCAGCTCCTTGCCACTGTAGGGCTTCTGCGACCTTGGCGATGGTTGACTCGTAAAGATGGCGGGCAGTTATGCATTCGATCGAGTTGATGATGACATATCTCAGAAGGGGTTGATCTTTCTCGGTATCATCTTGAAGGGCTTGTAAAAGAGTAGCTATTATGGCACTCTTCCCGGTGGCTTCGGTGCCGTGTATCACGAGGTTTTGACATGGTGCTGCGAGAGGCTATCGAGATATTAGCATTGGGAAGTTAGGGTTGAAGAAGCTGCGCTTTAGTTATTACATGCAGGAGAGTTGCTACAGCTCGTATTTGGGCGTCACGGCAGGGAAATGTCTGAGAGAGCGTGGTGAACAGCAGCTCATCGGGGAGCTGGAAGAGAGAATCGCCCATGGTGGGAAATCTCGAGATAAATCGTTGCTTGTTGTTTATCCTCGGAGCCGAATGTTTCTGTTTTGGATCTGCTGGTGGCTAGAATTCGCAGAGTGGATGTATTGATTCCACGTCTGTGGTTTTCTGGGTCCAGCGAGACCGTTTGGGATTATTCGTTATAAGTCGTTTCGTGATGCAACTGATGGAGGTTGCCCTGGCATTGGGATGCAGACGCGTTACGCGTTGGGTCTTACTCTTTACACCCCTGTAAAGCGACAGGGGTGCCGCTATAATGACAGCCAAAGGACCCAAAAGCACGGAGCAACCTCCCCTGGGATGTCCCGTCATTACAGCGCCTGCCATTGTCGCTCTTTTGAACTGGCCCACCATTCCCGTTTTCCACCATCCGATTTCCTGATCGTCACATGCAGGAGGGCAACTCTTATCACAACTCTACTATTCCTTTCTTAACTTGACTTTCAATGACACTTGAGCTATGGTGATCTTCCGGCCATCGGCTCTTCAACATAGAGGGAATCATCATGGCTTCGGCAGTGCTCTTCCCCTTCGGGGTTGCCAAGCGTCCAGTGCATGCCAGACCCGATGCTCATGAATCCGAGAATGGCATAAACCGCCTGAACTTATCGATGAAGACCAACGAAAGTCCCTACTATAAAACAGTCTAGTGCCGCCCAATATTAGTTATAACCATCACCATATCTGGAAGAGAAGCTCCGGGCTTACCGACCCCACGGGGTTCGAGCGGCAACGGACCAGCTTGGCAGATTAGGAATGGCGTCCGGCTTTCACCACTCCAACATATGCAAATTAGAAGTCAGGCCAATCCATTTCCCATCTGCCTATATCCGACGAACATCCGAAGAATCATCAATCACAAGCACTCTGCTGTCTTTCTCTCCTCACGCTGATACAACTTGACTGCTAACTCCCGAGGTTGTTAAGTGTATATGTATGTGGTGTTGGCTTATTATGGACAGTGGCTCATCGGGGATCGACAACAGCCTCTCACTTACAAGAACAACCTTGCTCCGACAACGACTTACTGACGCCTCGGCTATCACCCCACCTGCATACCCTCAATAACATCAAAAGAAGCGAAGGATTCCATGGCATTATACGAGGCCGTAGCCACTCCGGGGTCCTCAGCGGGATTCCACGCCGACAAGCCATATCACTCTAAGCGACCGCACCGCAAATCCAGAAAGGGGTGTCGTACATGCAAAGCTCGCAAGGTACGTCTTCCTTGAACATTACAGAATCGATTGATTGTCCGTAAGAGAAAATGTTACCTGTCCTGTGCCATTCATCATACTGCAGACTAACACTATGCTCAGGTCAAATGTGACGAGATCCGCCCATCATGTACAGCATGTTCTCTACGCAGGGAGACATGTGTCTATCCCACGACAACCCAACTCATAACTGGCTTGTCATCGTCCAAGAACCAAACAAGCTCGCCCATCACACCAACTGACTCTTTCGGGCTTCAAGTCATTCACGAAACCTCATCCCCGGGTTCCGACGGCTCATCATCGGGCGTGATCGTCAGAGAGCCGTTATTCATCCCCAAGGACCGCACCGAAGCGGAACTCAAACTCCTATGGTTCTACAGCCAATCAACCTTCAAGTCCTTCGCCGCTGACTCCGGGCCCGTCGACACTGTGAACCATGTCCTGAAGGTGAAGCTAGTCGAACATGCCTACGCCAACCCGTTCCTGATGAACACCGTTCTAAGCTTAACCTCCCTACACCTCCAACACGTCGGCATCGACGACCTCAACGTGCCCCGCGCACAAGCTCTCGTCTACCGCGCCCGAGCTTTTGAGACCTACCGCAAAGCCATCGAAGAAGCCGACCCGTCCACCTTCCCGGCATTAGTTGCCTGCGCCTTGTTTCTCTGCGGTCTCACTTCCCAAGTCTTCCGGGACGAGGAGGACTACAAGCCGCTCTACATCATCGACTGGATAAACGTTTGGCAGGGCGTCGGGTTGATCATCCAGATGACCAGCGCCGAGATGGTCCACAACTCCGGGCTGCAAACCATCTTTTATCGGCCCTTGATCGACCTCAACGCGGCCGCCGCGCACATCCCCAACAGCCTGATCTTCATGGTCGCCTCGGTAAAAGAGGGAGACCCCGACTATCGCGACAACCCAGTTTACTACAACATCCTGCGCTACCTGGGCTCCTTGTATCAGGAACTCAAGAATGGATTTTCCGATGTCCTGTTCATGCGCATCCTTACTTTCTTCTCCTACATGCCCAAATCCTTCATCCTCCTCGCACGAAAGCGCAGGCCGCGCGCGCTCGTCATCATAGCTTACTACCTCGTCTGGTCCAAGATGGTTCCCGTGTGGTGGTTCCGCGGCGTCGATCGAGATCTTCCGCATATCATAGAAATGCTGGGACCGGAATGGGACCCCTTGCTAAGAGTGCCCAAGCAGGCCGTGGGCATCGAGGGGGGCCCGTGGACATGGATGCAAACTGCCCAGCTGTTGCTCGGTGACAAGACCTGGAGACCGCCGCAGACGATAAAATGCGAGTGGGGAGCAGGAGGGGTAGGACCAGCAGGAGCAAAAGGAGGACCGGGAGCAGTACCGCGAGGGCCACCATCACAGGCTCCAATCTTCCCGCTGGCTTGGGTGGATAATACGGGGAAACCGATGCCGAATTATTTGTTTCTGGAGGAGTATGATCCGAGGGCTGTTGTGGTGGGTGCAAGCGCAGGTCCTACGCCTTCGCCGACGCCGTCGCCTGCTCCATCTGGTGAAATTAAGGAGGAAGAGAAGGTGGTAGTTAGTCGAGCTGTGGACAGTCCTTCGGTTTTGTGCTTGAATTAGCCAAGTGTCGGTGTTTATTGAAGATAATGGTTTGGAAATTGTGTTTGGAGTTGGACCGATACCCATTTGTTTAAGCAATCGCTGTCTTTACAGTTTTTTTGAGCCTGTCTCTACGAATAGCAATAGAACATGGTTACATTTGATATATTAGTCGAAAAGTTGCGACGTCTGCATTTGATCCCCTGAACTGGCCTTCGAGAGTGTTGCAGCATCAGCCTGGTTGGCGACAAAGTGAAGTTGTAAATCCAACACAAGTCTTGGCTGTTCTATTCGTGTCGACAACAAAGCACGAAAAACAGATATCAACCTACTGGTCTGTTCAACCTCACGTCATAGTCACCACCTGGAACCCAGAAGAACGGCGGTCTTTTACAGCAAAGTTCAAGCCCTCGGTTTAGACAGAAACATCTGGAACACACATCGCAACCCGGAGTCGCACCTTCCTTCCCAGCTAAATCCCGTCTCCCGCCCAAGGCACCTAATTTCCCTAGACACGTTACTCCTTCCTTCCCAACCCTGTTAATCATCGGTACATAAGGTACTTTTTCCACTCGCCCTTCCGCCCAAAGAGGCACACAAAAAAAAAAAGCACAGCCAAAAAATGGCAGACTAGCATAGCGGTCAAGCCCGCCGGGCACACAACGTGTCGAAGGACAAACGCAGGAGAATATGCGTTCAATTCCTGCAACGACCGAAGAGATTTTCGGATTACCCAAAGACACGCTGTTATCAAAATGATAGCACGATACGGTCGTCCTCGAGAGACGAAAAGAACGACACACGAAGTCGCAGCGAAAGGCAGAAGCGCAAAGCACGCTGCCAACAAAGACCATCACGATGATCACGAAAGATCCGGAGCTCAAAAAAGAGTTCTGAAGACCACCCGAAGATGGGAAAAGCGAGCTCTCAAGCAGAGTGAAGGAAAGCAAATCTCAGACAAAATCTGAGAAGTTATAAGCCCTTATTTTTTGCCGCTTTTTTTTTTTTTGGTTATTTGCTTTTCTCATCTTTTGGGCTGTTCCTATCAGTCATTTTTTGGTTATTTGCTTTTCTCATTCTTTTGGGCTGTTCCTATCTAGTCATCTTCCGCCATTCATCTCCTCCGCCATCATCTCCTCCGCCATCATCTCCTCCGCCATCATCTCCTCCGCCATCATCTCCTCCGCCATCATCTCCTCCGCCATCATCTCCTCCGCCCTTCAAAATCCTAACATTCCCGTCCGTCACCACCACTATCGCCATCACAACCCAAACCAAGCCTCACTAGCCGACAGATTCGCCGGCACACTATGTCCCACTCCCTGCGCCCAAATCCCCTCCACCCACACCACTCCCTCCTTATCCGTATACTCACTAGCCGTATACCCCTTAGCCGGATAATCCTTCCTCTCAACATTCCCCTTCGGCGCCCCATTCACCATCCCGCCCCCCTCAACCCCAGGAACTCCCAAAACATTAGTCCACTGCTTAACCTGTTCCCCGTAATTATTCGGACTAACAGTCCCGTCACTACTTCCATGCCAAATCTGCATCCTCGGTCTCGGTCTTCTTTTTCCTTCTTCATCATCTTGATAGTCATACTCAGGAAACATCTCCCTAGTCACATCCCCCCACCTCTGCGCCGTCGCCCTCGAGTTACCCCCAGAACAACTATTATTCCAGTTCGCCACCCCTCCCGAACTACTCATAAAACACCCGGCCGGAACACCAGAATACACGCTCACCGCCGAAATAAGCTGGGGGTAAGTAGCAGCCAAAACATTCGCCATCATGGCACCTGAACTTCCTCCGGTAACAAAAACTTTTTCCGTAGGGGTTCGGTATTTCTCCATAGCGTATAAAATCATGTTCGAGATGGCTTGCGAATCGCCGCCCCCTAGGTGGGTTAGGGAACTGTGGGAGGATACGTCCCAGCAGGTTCCACTGTGAGGAGAGGAGGGCCAGATAGTGATGTAACCTTTTTTGTCGGAGCCGGATGCCCAGGGGATTTTGGCGTTGCGGAAGTAGGATTGGGCGGTTGATTGGCAGGAGTGGAGGACTATAATTAGGGGTGGAGGGATGGTTTGAGTGGGAGAGTAGGCATCTGGGACGTAGATGTACCTATGTTGTGGTAACAACGGTGTTAGTTTGTAATAGTGATGATAAGGTAGCCTTAGTGGTTTATAGGCTAGGAGGTTTGGAGGCTTAGAGATGGGGAATACCTAGCTCGGGTAAGAGGGAGGGAGGTGAGATAAGGTAAGTGGACGCGAGTTGAAAAGGGGGAAAGAAAAAAGCGGAGAATAATGAGCAGGAGGAGTAGGAGGTGGGACAAGAGGAGGAGAAGGAAGAGGAGGAGGATGAGGGGGAGACAGCAAATAAAACAGGAGTTGAAGAGTCCAAGAAAAGTAGGAGAAGAACACGAAGAAGAGTCGCAGGAGTAAAGCTTCCCATCCACGTCTCCGAGTCTCTCAATCCTCACTTGTATAGATTTATAGAAGATGACTCCTCGAAGCCACCCAACCCCATAACCACCATCATCTCGTTGAAAGCCGTAGAAAGTGACAACGAAAATGGAAAACTCACATATCAACCTTGCTCGTAGCATTATTCGGATAATTAACCTTAGTCAACTGAGCTCCTAAGACCACCGAAGTAGGAAGGAGTGTCACCACCGCGGCGACGACCAACACCGTTAAGTAGTTCAGGAGATACATCTCATGATTTGTCAGAACTGCGAGTCCCCAATCGTAACACGGTTAAAAGACAGGGAAATAGGGGGAACAGGAGTCGTAGGCTCGCTCCTCTTCCACAAGTCGAGGAAGAAAAGGAGACAATGGGTTGGTCTTTATACCTACCTACCTACCTACCCTTCCTACATCGACTTCATAACAAAAGCTCAATATCCATCATGAACCACGTCTAGTTCAGCAGTCGCAAATAATCCACCAATCCACGGACAATCATGGCCACCACAGACAAATCAAGTTTTCCTAATACCGGCAGCAGTAGATTAATCTGGGGTAATGGGTGGCTCTAAATATCAGGCACTTGAACTGGATGCCGAGCACTATACATAAGAGAGCTGAGCAGACGTAGGGAGGGTGGTGAATGTCTGATCGTGGAAAGGTCCACGGAACGGCTAAAGACGAGAAGCAAATCAGCCAAGGAACGGGAATAAGAGCAAGTATAATATAAGCTCACCCAAGGACATCTCACTCGTGCTTAACATGTCACATCACATTCGCGGAACACATCAGTTGAGTTCATTCACATAATATTCGTAACAAGACCAGGAGCTTTTTATCGCGCACAAAAACAGGCAAGGTATATAGAGGAAAAAAGGAACTTCATTTGATACACAGCTCATAGGAGGAACGTCCCGAAAAACCTTTCTTTACTCTATACACAGGCCATCGTTTCCGTCCCGATTTTGAACTCCCGCATTAGACGCTTAAGCAGAGCCCTCAAGCTCAGCAAGGATCTTCTCACCCTTGGCGCGAGCAGAGGCGAAGTCACCAACCATGTAGAAGGCACCCTCGGGGAGGTCATCACCCTCACCGGCAAGAATGGCCTTGAAGGAGGCAATGGTGTCCTTAAGGTCAACGAGCTTACCCTCGATACCAGTGAAGACCTGAGCGACAGTGAAAGGCTGGCTGAGGAAACGCTGGATCTTACGGGCACGCTCGACGGTGAGCTTATCGGCCTCGGAAAGTTCGTCCATACCAAGAATGGCAATGATATCCTGGAGAGACTTGTACTCCTGGAGAATCTGCTGGACGCGGGTGGCGGTCTCGTAGTGCTCCTGACCGACGATACGGGGGTCGAGCATACGGGACTTGGAGTCGAGGGGATCGACAGCGGGGTAGATACCCAACTCGGAGATACCACGGGACAAGACAGTGGTGGCGTCCAAATGGGCGAAGGTGGTGGCGGGGGCAGGATCAGTCAAATCATCAGCAGGGACGTAGACGGCCTGGACGGAGGTAATGGAACCCTTGGTGGTGGTGGTAATGCGCTCCTGCATCTGACCCATGTCGACGGCGAGGGTGGGCTGGTAACCGACGGCAGAGGGAATACGACCGAGAAGAGCGGACACCTCGGAACCGGCCTGGGTGAAGCGGAAAATGTTGTCAATGAAGAGCAACACTATAGGTTTTGTTAGCAACGTTTTTCCCTTCAAGCGGCAAATTTTTTCCAGAGCAACATACCATCCTGACCCTCCTCATCACGGAAGTACTCGGCGATGGTGAGACCAGTAAGGGCGACACGGGCACGAGCTCCGGGGGGCTCGTTCATCTGACCGAAGACAAGAGCGACCTTGGAGTCACCATCGAGCTGAATGACGGAAGTCTCCTGCATTTCGTGGTACAGATCGTTACCCTCACGGGTACGCTCACCGACACCAGTGAAGACGGAGTAACCACCGTGGGCCTTGGCGATGTTGTTGATAAGCTCCTGAATGAAGACGGTCTTGCCGACACCGGCACCACCGAAGAGACCAATCTTTCCACCACGAGCGTAGGGGGCGAGGAGATCGACGACCTTGATACCAGTGACGAGAATCTCGGCGGTGGTAGACTGCTCAACGAACTCGGGGGCATCGGCGTGGATAGAGCGGAACTTGTCGGTCTTGATGGGACCGCGCTCGTCGATGGGGTCACCAGTGACGTTGATGATACGGCCAAGGGTGGCAGGGCCGACACTACACTTTTGCGTCAGTAAAAACAGCTCCATTCGCGATTGCTTGCCCGTCGTTTCAAGGCAAAGCTCGGAGATTTGAGGGAAACGCACGGGATGGTGATGGGAGCACCAGCTATAATATCATGTCAGCGAATCCGTGCAAAATGCCTGATATCGGGATATCAAAGAGGAAGCTTACTGTCGGAGGCCTTGGCACCACGAACGAGACCCTCAGTACCGTCCATGGCAATGCATCTCACGACGTTCTCGCCGAGATGTTGCTGCGGGGCTGGTTAGCGCATTCGCTCGGCTAAACTAATCCCGCTGATCGTGGTCCCCGGGGTTGATGAGGCCATTTTTTTGCTTCCACGTACCGAGACCTCGAGGACGAGCTTCTGGCCATTGTTCTGAGTCTCAAGGGCGTTGAGAATGGGAGGAAGCTTGTCGGTATCGAACTTGACTGTTGGGCGGGAGAGCGGGGTCAGTATACAGAGCGGGCGTCGTGACCGGACGGGCAACTGAGGCCACGGCGCGGGCGTAGTTGGATGTTGTGTTGATAATTACTGACCATCGACGACGGCACCTGTGGTGAGAAAGTAGCGCGGTTAGCAAAGCAAAGTTTTCATGAAGCCGGTATATCCCGGAGATATGTATGTTGTCGTCGACAGGTAGGGTAGGGTTGGATCCCGGCCCATGTGTGGTCGAGTCGAGGTTAGGCAACGAGGACATCGTGTCGTCGTGCCCGAGGAGGTGGGAGATGGTATGCTTACCAATGACCTGGTAGATCTTGCCATCACCAACACCGGCGGAGCTGGCGAAGCGGCTGAGGGCAGGAGCACGGAGGTTGAGGGCAGCCGGGCGGACGGCGCGACGAGACGCCGCCGCAAAGGAGGGACGGGCAGTCCGGGCGAAGGCGGAAATGCCGCTATATTGCAACAAGAGGAAGGCCAACTATCAGCTTTCCGGACGTCGAGGCTTCGGGCATCTCCAATTCGGCGTGATCCATGTCGAGAGAGAGGTGACGCGGCACACGGACTCACTCACCTCTTGAACATCTTGACGATGATTAAGCGCGACGGGATGGTGGATGTGCAGAGGAAAAGATGGCTGCTTTGAAAAGGAAAGAAACGGGTTCGAAAATCTCTCGACGAGCTTCGGTTAGAAGCTGCGGAGCTCCCAGCAAGACCACGTGATTTGCTCGGGGCCAAAAAGTGAGGGAAAAGTCGAGCAAAGTCGTCGAAAAGTGGGGAAGCTGCTCCCTCTCGGCCAATCGAGTGCTGGCAACACTCCCGTCCTTGGCCTTGCCTCACTTCCAGTTGTCGTCCACTTTTCAGGTCTTGCTCTGGAGGTTGGTTGCCATCCAATCTGGACTTCTTTGGTGGTTCAGTTGCTGCTGCAACGAACTTGCCATTCACCATCCAGACAGACCAGCCATTTCCACACTTCCGCCTTGTCTCTTGTCACTGGTTGCACATTCTCCCGGCTTTCCACTTTCAAAGTTCCTCAAGGACACCTTCGTCACTTTCCAAGACCATCTCAGTTCTGGAGCTGCCACGCCTCCAATGGGTCAGCGGAAATGGAGTTTTATGGAACTGCACTGCTGCTCCCCAGACAAACGCACGGTTTCCATTGCGGTTTTTCCCGCTCCTCCCAGCTTCGTTACTAGTTCGACAAGGACTCCCGTCGCCGCACGTCACTGGCCCATCTTCTGCAGCAAATCGAAACATCCGCCGCCCGCACTTTCGTCCCGCACTACACAAACCGCCAATTTTGATCTTTTTTTCCCCAATTGCCAGCTTGGTCGGAGTGCGCCAATCACCGTAATGTTCCGAACATCGACGTCGTCACCAACCAGAATTATCACGACCACCACTCTAACAGCAGCTAGCTTCCACACAACATGCAAATCATCACCACAATAACAACCATAACAGCAGAAGCATTTCGATGTCTTGAACTTGATGCAATTGACATTTCTCTTAGATGTCTTTCTTTAACCTTTGGATAACGACTTTTAAAACACGAAGCTTGCCGACCGATACATATAAATAAAACAAAAACAGCACTATTCGTGCCGACCGGTTTTCCCTGTCCAAATCTTCTATGGCGCACGACAATACGTACGATGCTTTCCTACGCTTGTGGCCGCCAACCCGGCCGCTGTAATTCTCGTCATCCGCATGGAACAACGGATGGAATGTCTGGTTATTCAAACCCTACTCTGAAAGGGTGGACTCGAGCGCAAGGACCTGGAAACAGCAAATTAGTCAACCATCCGGAACCAAAATGCAATGGCATGCAGCATGACGAGGGAAACTTACAATGGCTGTCCTGGTCGGGATGTACACATGGGTGCTGTTCTTGCGGTTGTTCCACGGGAGGTCGGAAGTGAAGAAGCGAGTCTGGGGATCGAGACGGTTGAAGCCACCGTGATCCTGGGTATCCGAGTCGAGAACGATGCGGTAGGTGCCCGCCTGCTCGATGCCGATGCGGTAATCGGTGTAGCTGTTGGTGTGGTGGAAGTTGAAGATGAAGACCAAGCCGGCGCGCTCAAAGACGATGACCTTGTCACCCTCGTGCTTGAGAGAGATGTAGGCCTGAGGGGCGTGCAACCAGCCGTACTTGTTCTCGCACAGGTTCATCGACCTGTCAAAGTTGTTGAGGAACTGGTAACGCAAAAGACCATCTTCCGTAAGGTTGAGCTGACGCCTGGCGTACCAGAACGAGTTCTGGTTGCCCTCACGGGGGAAGTCAAGCCACTCAGGGTGGCCGAACTCATTGCCCTCGAAGTTGAGGTAACCCTCACCTCCCAGGGAGTGGGTAAGGAGACGGATCAACTTGTGCAGGGCCATGCCGCGGTCAATGACCGGGGTCAGAGGCGTGAGGACAGACATGTTGGTGTACAACTCGGCATCGCAGAGATGCATCATGAGGGTCTTGTCACCGACGAGTCTGTTTGAGCGTTAGCACAAGTCCGAATATGTTGCCACGGGGTAGGTCACTTACGCTTGATCGTGACTCTCAGCATAAGCAATGGTCTTCTCGCCGTGACGCCGGTTTGTCAGGGTCCAGGTGATGGCACCAATGTCCCACTCCTCGTCCTTCTTCTCCTTCAAGATCTTGATCCACATGTCGGGAATGGCCATGGCGAGTCTGTAGTCGAAGCCAACACCTCCTAGGGAAAGTGGCAGGCACAGAGCCGGCATTCCTGATACATCCTCGGCAACGGTGATGACCTCGGGGTATAGTCCGTGGAGCATCTCGTTGGCGACCATAAGGTAAACAACCGCTTCCTCATCAACGTCAGGGCCGTAGTACTCGTGGTAGCCACCGGAGAAACCGCTGGGTACGGTTAGCAAATGTCACATTCATTTTTCGGGAAATGTTAACTTACGTTCCGATACCGTGATGGGTGTAGAGCATGCTCGTCACACCATCGAATCTGAAGCCATCAAAGGCGTACTCGTCCATCCAGAACCTCAGGTTGCTGAGCAAGAACCTCATAACCTCGTGATGACCGTAGTTGAAAAGCCTGCTGTCCCAGAGCTCGTGCTTGCCCTTGGCGCCACCATGGAAGTACTGGTGATCGGTACCGTCAAACTCATTCAAGCCATCAAGGACGTTCTTGGAGGCGTGACTGTGGACGACGTCGAGCAGCACAACAATGCCCAAGGCGTGGGCAGTATCCACCAACTCCTTGAGATCCTCGGGCGGGCCGTATCTGCTGCTGGCAGCGAAGAAGCTGTTCACCTGATAACCGAAACTGGCATAGTAGGCGTGCTCCATGATGGCCATGAGCTGAATGGCGTTGTATCCCAGGTTCTTGATGCGGGGAAGCATGTTCTTTGTGAACTCCTTATAAGTAGCCACCTTGCACTCCGGGGAGGAAATGCCGACGTGGGCCTCGTAGATCCTAAGGCTCTGGGGCTTCGAGGGCCGCTTGTGCTTGAATGTGTATCTTTCGGCCTGGGGAGGGTTCCAGAACCTCGCCTCGTATGCGGGCGAGACTGAGAGGTCCTGGGTGACATATTTGATCCATGCCGGCAGTCTGTCGACCCATTGGCCGTCGGGGAGTTCGAGGGTGATCTGTCAGGAGATGAAGGTTAGTACATTATGATCCAATTGGTGTGGCAGAGGTCCATCAGTTGCATACCTTGATCTTGGAGTGGTGGGGGATAGCTGGTGTCCCGGGGGCAGTGGGAGGAATTGTGATCTCGAAGACGCCGTACTCGTTCTTCTTCATGCGGTGAGCGTTCCTATCCCAGTTGTCTGATAAGTGTCAGTTACAGCTCCTGGATTCTCAACATCTTGTTCTTGGGCTATGCCACTTACTGAATTCGCCAATAAGGGATGCTTGTTTGGCGTTGGGAGCCCATTCTCTGTATGTGATGCTGCTGTCCTTGTTGACGTTCAAACCAAAGAGCTCGGTACCCTGCAGTCGTACATGTGTGTTAGCGTTTTGATAACTTCCACAGAAATTGGGACGAGGGCAGGTTTGTGACTAACCCTGCTGAACTTCTCCAAACCACCTTCTGTCTTGTTGATGGTATCGATCCAAGACTGGGCCTTGGAATAGCGTCTCTTGAGAGCATCCTGGAACGGCTCGAGCCAGGGGTCAATGCTCAAGACACCTGCATCTCTGTATCAGCTTCTGGCACCAAATTGGCAGGCACCTGGATCCCCACGAGGAATTGGGGATAGAGGAGAGACATACCGGTGCCATCCTTGGGAATGCTGGTGTTGGCAACGGTGCCGCCGCCGTTAGCCAGCGAGTTGGAGGAGTTGTCTGAGATGTCGTTCATGTTGACAGCTTTCTGTGAAGCTCTGGTTTGGTGTTAGGTGCAGAAGAGAACAGAAGCACGTCCAGAAACAAGTCTAGAAGAGTGGAGGTGAAGCGATGGGTTTTAAGCGCTTGGAAGATGGGGTGATATCAGGTACCACTCTTGTTCGCCCGTTTCTCGGAGCTTCTTTAGTAAGTGGAAAGCGGCCCAATGGATACACACTTTTGACGTTTAAGTTGAATGGGATGTCGTAGAGGAGGGGACGGGAAGGGAGAGAGCAAGTAGGTAGTAGTCAGGTAAGAGTTGGGTTGGAAGGTGCAAGCAACAGAGACTGCTCGCTTATTATAACGAGAACCCAACCACTAACTCTTAGAAGACAGTAGTGTAGCCTAAGATAAGAAAGATTGTCTCGAAGGCAAAAAAGAGATGGATGCAATGAAGACGTTGGAGGACGAAATACTACCTTGGCTTTGCTTGGGTTACGGGCAGGGGACACAACGGAAGAACCCTCTTTGTGTACTAGATCCACGATGATGACTCCAGGTCTCTTTTCTCTTTGGACGAGTCCAGCAATTCAATCAGTTGTTGGTGGTGTAGAGTTGCAGTGTTTATGCTCCTTGACGTCTAAAATATCACCGAGTGGCGGCGTGGACAAAGGAAACGAATTGATGACCGGAGGAGGGGGAGCTTCAACAGATTTGGACATTGATGAAGGAACTGTTGACTGTTTGATGAAGCACCACCCCTGGGGGAAGCTATGCTTGATTACATCATGGGCTCCTGCTGCAGGTTCAAAACCCAACTAACAAAAACCTAACCCAATCTTATTGCCTAGAGCCACCTATTTTTTTCACCTCGCCTTGTTAGCTTTTCAGTTACTGAAAAGTGCCATCCTTTCTAGCTTGCACTTTTACCCCTGATCGGGTCTCTTGTTGAGATGCTGAATGCACCATATCTGCCTTTCCAGACGCAGGGCATGTCGCAGTCAGGTCGCTTTCTGTACGCCGTCGCATGTATGTCATTTCCATTCTCTCAAAGTGGTTGGCAGTTAACCAGAAGGCGGAAGCATGGTTGGGCTTCTGGGCGTTTGTCCAGGCGTCCAAGGTCTTATCAAAATGCTGGCGAACTGGAGCTCTTCAGGTGGAGCTTCCCTTCGCTTCATGGAGGGGCCGGAGGGGCAACTGGAGGCAACTGGCGGGGCTCAGAGGTTGGCCTGAGGAGGGGAAGCTCTCCCCTTTCCGAATTTCGGGTGCTTGCTGCCAGTCAACGGCCTGACAGCAGTCGGACATTGCAAGGCAAGACCCGGTCGGCACAGGGTGCAGTTGATCCAGGCTCAAGCCATTTGCCGGCCCAGCTGTGCAGTGGCAGCAGCTGCTTCCACTTGCCAGTTGCAGGCGGACGTCCCGCCCGGGGCATGTCTCCCCCGCATCTCCAAGGAACCTCCGCATTCCGCATCATCAGAGTGCTCTCATTGAGGTGCCTGCCCGTGCGCTCCTGGACTCTGGAGGTGAGCACCCTTGCGGCCAGCCGAGCCCGGACCGTAGTCATCTCTCTTCCTACACCTCAACACACTGCACCCGACGTACACGTTAACCTCCCTTTGCTTGGACGTGATTGGCGTCGCGACGACTCTTCGTCTTCATTTCTCTGCTCTTATTGGATCGCAAACATCATCACCAGACCTTTTTGATGATGCATTGTCTGTAACTCATTGAAAGCGTCCCCTTGTTCACTTCGTTCCCATTGTCGCATCTTCGTCGCAACCTCTTTACAACGAACCGTGCCTCTACGGCAGATCGATTCCGATTCTTCCGATCCCGCTCCTCGATCCTATACCACGTCCCCGAACTGCCACCTCCCGTTGATACCTCCCGTTTCCTCAATCTGCCCTCGGCCGTGAAGAACCTGGGCATGCCTGCCACTTCGTCGTTATAATGCTGGTCCTACCAAGGGCCGTTCGCCGTGCCTCGTCCGACGTTGTGCCAATGTTCACCGCAAGAACCCTCGCATCGCAGCATCTCGCCCGACTGCGATACATATCCTATTCTTCCCGCCTTTCACTCTCTCCCCGCCGCACCCAGTCCCTCAACAACCAGGGCTTTACATCGAGCTATGATCCTAATGAGAATGGCCGAGGCCCGATATTCTCAAACAAGTCCAGCTTTGGCGTCCCCCATTTCTACCCGCGCGATCTGAAGCGGCGCGTAGATGATTACGTGGTCGGCCAGGATCGCGCAAAGAAGACAATATGCTCCGTCATCTTCAACCATTACCAGAATATTCGTCGACGCCAACATCACGAGGTCCAGGACCAGCGCCTGCGTGAAAAGTTGCAGCGACAAAGATATTCTCGAGATAATAGAGACAGAGATCTGCAGGATCGCGAAGGCTACAGTGGTAGCAGCAGCAGCAACAGGGACATACATCCTGTCGAAGGTGGGCGACGGTCACCTCTTGAACCCTGGCTTGACCCTCCCCCGAAGCCGCGGCGGCAGTGGGCTGATAAGCGCATACTTGAAGACGAGTTTCCGGGCCATCACGAGTCCGTCATGGGGACACACCGTGACCGAGACCGAGACCGCGATCGTGACCATGATATGGTTGAGGACCACCTTGAGACGACGTCTGTTGATGACTTTTACATCCCTGAGGATACCAATGCTCCTCAGCGCGTAAAGATCGACAAGAGTAACCTCTTGCTGATAGGACCAACTGGTGTGGGCAAGACGTATATCCTAGAGTGAGCGGGACTCTCCCTTCCCTTGTGCTTATGCCCCCGTGTCGCATGCTTATCTGCCATGTACTAGAACTCTGAGCAAGAAGCTCAACGTGCCCTTCACGATAAGCGACTGTAACTCCTTCACCCAGGCCGGCTATATCGGACAAGATGTGGAAGCATGTATCGAGCGCCTCCTCATCGAAGCGAACTACGACGTCAAGGCTGCCGAACACGGAATAGTTGTGCTAGATGAATTTGACAAGATTGCAAGACGGGAAACTGTCAACGGGAGGGATGTTGGCGGTGAGGGCGTCCAGCAGGCTCTCTTGAAGCTTGTCGAGGGTACTAAGGTTACCGTCAATGTTAAGGATCACCGGTCGTCAAAGCCGCCCCCGCCTCCCAACCTCAACATCTCGACACCTGGATACGGACCTGCTAGCACCACGCCGTCTATCACTCCTGGCAAAGTCGAACAATATATCGTGGACACCAGCAACATACTCTTTGTGTTTTGTGGTGCCTTTGTCGGGCTCGACAAGACTGTCCTTCGGCGGGTCGCAAAGCCATCGATAGGCTTCGGCGCTGAGGTCAGAAACCATCGCGTCTCTTCCATGTCAGGTAGTCAAGATATTCTTCCTCCCGAGCTGTACAGCCATCTACCGCACCAACCTCCGACGATGCCGGTAGACCTCTCGGGTGGAAGCCTGGCTTCATCTGGTGGCAGTGGCTTTACTCCGCTTGATCTAGCCTCGCCGGCCGATCTCCAGGCCTTTGGGTTTATCCCTGAGCTTATTGGCCGTCTACACAACATCTGCGCTCTGAGTCCTCTCTCCCTTGACGAGCTCTACCGCATCCTTACGGAACCGCGTAACAGCCTGGTAGCGCAGTACACAGCGCTCTTCGAGACCTACCCTAGCAAGCTGTACTTCACTCGCAAGGCGCTGTATGCCATTGCCGAAAAAGCGGCCAAGAACGAGACGGGCGCCAGAGGGTTAAAAATGGAGATGGAGCGTGTGCTGGCAGAGCCCATGTATGATGCGCCCATGCCATATGTGCTCATCACAGAGGGCTGTGTCAAGGGAACAGAGAAGGCCGGCTACTGGGGTAAGGACGGTAGGCTGGAGCTTGAGAGGATGATGGCGGAGGAGGATCAGAAGGGGCTTGGACAAGGACCGGTGGAAGGGGGGATGGAAAGGTTGAGGGAGGCGGGACAGAGTAGTGCATGATTTCCTGACTGGTCTCAGGGTCTTGTTATAAGTCTGACGAGGAGCCGGTATGGGCTTGTGGGTTGTCTTGTTTCTTTCACTGTCCCTTTGCTTGGAGGCGTTGGTTTGGAAGGGGTTACGGTCCACGGTACCGTCTCGCGACGGGGTGACAGAGGCACTGGACGGCATGATGTCGGGAGTACAGAACGGTTGGGACACAGTACATACGCATTCGATGGATATAGTTTAACAATGGCATAGTATAACACTTCTATTTGAGGCATAAGAGCCTTACGATATTCCATGGAGTAGTTGTTGTCGTCGTGATAACCTCCGCGGTCCGTCGTCTTCCCCGGATTACATCATACACCTTATCGGGGGACTGATAAGCGCGTATCGGCCGAAGGAGGGGAAGAAAAGTTGAGACTCGAATGGCAGAGTGGAGACTTCAACCTCGAGCAGTCAATCAGAGCTCCGCTATCGTGACCCTCTTGTCCCTGCTCTGTCATCCGAGACGGCGCTCTGGCTGAACAAACAGTCACAATCGCAAAGGTGTCGACATACCATTCACTCTCAATTGACGAGCCAGCTATTTCTCAAGCTCTTCCTGACCCCACAGCGACCGAGCATTTCCTACAGCTACCTCGCTGGACCATTCTTTCTCCAACCTCGAGATTTCCAACGCCAACCCTCGAGTCGTCGTCGAGCGCCGCTCTCCTACAAACCTACAAGCCCAAGAGTCACGAGCCTACGAGCCTACCTACTATCATCATCACCTAAACAAAACAAAACCAAGCCGCTCGACTCTACTACAAGCCCTAACCTTACAATGGCGACCGAATCCTCAACCCCGGCCACCGTCGCGACAACCGCCGAAGTCACTCCTCTCCCACCCTTCTCTCCCGACCTCTACCAACGCGCCTGGGCCTCCATCCCGCACCCTACCCTCCCTCTAATCGCCACCTGCCACCACCACTCCGTCACCGTCTTCTCGCTCTCCACGCTCTCCAAACACTCCGTCCTGACGGGCGGCCACACCCGCTCCGTGCGCACGGCTGCCTGGCAACCTCCTCGCGGCAAGGTTTCTTCTTCCAGCAAGGAAACAAAGAGGCTGAGGCTGGTCACGGGCAGCTTCGATACCACGGCTGGAGTATGGACTTGGGACCAGGGACGGAGGGAAGAGAGGCTGGAACAGGAGGTGCGACTACAGAATAAGTCTGGGGATGACAAGGATAAGGACGAGGAGGAAGAAGAAGAAGAAGAAGAAGACGAGTGGGAACTAACGCTCGTCCTAGAGGGTCACGAGAATGAAGTCAAAAGCGTCAATTACTCCCCCTCGGGCCAATACCTCGCTACATGCTCTAGAGACAAAAGCGTGTGGATCTGGGAAGATGTTGGAAATCCCAACCCATCTTCTGAAGAAGAAGGGGAGGATGAGGACGAGGACGAAGATGAATGGGAAACAGTAGCCGTACTACAAGAACACGACGGCGACGTCAAAGCCGTAGCTTGGTGTCCTGACGTTCCCGGCCGCAAGAGCAAGCACGCGCCCGCGAGAAGATACGGCGATGATGTCCTGGCGAGCGCGAGCTACGATAACACGGTGCGGCTGTGGAGGGAGGATGGCGATGGCGAGTGGGTGTGCGTTGCGGTGTTGGAGGGGCACGAGGGGACGGTGTGGGGAGTTGCGTGGGAGGGGAAGCCTAGGGAGAACGATAAGTTCCCGAGACTGTTGAGCTGGGGAGCGGATGAAGTGATTCGGGTTTGGAGTCTTAAGGAGCCGGAAGAGGAGGAGCCTGTTACAGAAGGAAGCGGTGGAAGTGGCAACAGTACCTGGGGATTCGGCGTACCAAACACCATGCGCCGATCCCTCAAGGAGGAATGGGAGTGCACGGCTGTTTTGCCAAAGGTGCATAAGGGTGATATTTACTCGGTGGCGTGGAGCACGGAGACGGGATTGTTGGCGAGTGTGGGAAGTGATGGTGTTTTGGCGCTGTATCAGGAGGCTACTACCAACACCACTACACCAGAGAAAACCGAGGACGTGGAGATGACGAACGGTGACAACGCCCCAACAACTACTGCTCCTAATGGTGGCTGGAAGGTTCTTACCACCGTCAAGAGTGCCCATGGACCCTACGAGATCAACCATATCACTTGGTGCAAGAGGTATGATGCTGGTTCGGAACGCAAGGGCGAGGAGGAGATGTTGGTCACAACGGGTGATGATGGTGTTGTTAGGCCTTGGCAGGTTAGGATACAATGAGTGACTGAGTGGTAAGGGGGGTTAGGTATTGAGGATCACAATGCGTTGAGTTAATACTGGAAGGACAGTCCCGTCAGTCTACGGACAAATGAGGTGGACATCTGAGAGAGTTGCTTAGGATAGAGGTAGAGAAGGGCAAAGTCAGCCAGAGTTGGTGTTATGATACCCCTATATAAAAATGGTATAGGACTTTTCACGCCGCCTTTCCAGACGAGGTCGTCAACGTGGAAGTGACAAGATACATGTCCATAAGTCCACCTTGCTGAGCACACCCTACCCATAACCGGGACATGACGTTCACATGCCCGTCTTTCCCTTTCCTCTTCACAATGTCCCCTGTATCCATCCAGCCGGGATCATAAACACCGACGTACAGTACACGGAAGAAAAAGTATCAGCCACACTGTTGATACAATACAGTTTCCAAATACAATATATTACTGCGTACAAAGATCTCGGTTTTGGATCGTCAGGGAAGCACGACTCAAACATGCCAAAAAGTTCCAAAGTTTCCATGTTGCTATTTCTGAAAGAGAGACAGACTCCATTCTATTCCGGGCTACCGAGAACAACTTGACTCCCTGGCAACTCCGTTCGTTTGAGTGCACTGTGAAGGTACTTCACGTTTTTTTCCTGGATTAATGAAGTTATCAGGCTGCGAAGTGCGAATACACATGCTCTGGTGTTATCGAAGGTAGCCATGAAGTTTCTCGTTGTCCTTGGTCATGACCTCTTATACAGATTTAGCAAAATAGACTAATGTCACAAGGTTATGGCGACATCAATCCTTAAGAATAGCGGTTGTATGTATATCAGTCATTCTCGATATAATAAAGCGAGATTCCATAAAATCCGGACATGGTATCATCCAAATGTTGACGGTATTCACGGAGTGATGCCATTCCCAGTTTCAATGTTGATGCCGTTCTTCCAAAGTTCCAACCCTCCCAAGTCCCGGAGGTCCAAAGCTCCAAAGCCCCAAAAGCCCCACTAGAAGCCCAGTGGATGCGAGATGTTCGCCGAAGATTCCAAGGCTTCCAAGCTTCGATGTGGCTTGACTTCTTCGGAAACTTGACTTTTTAAGAGAGCAGACCGTATTTGAATACGGTGTACATGCCATGTTCTTGACCTTGACTCTTGAGGCTATTCTCAGGTGCGTTCCTAGTTATCATACCTCTAGTACTTTACCTCTGCTGCTCACTGTATTGACCATTGTCCAATCGCCGTTCTTCCCTCTTGCATGCCCATTCGTCTGTTTTGGTCTCTGTTTTGGTCTTTGTTTTGAGTACTACATAGTATGATAGTACAGCGCTTCGTTACCGTCGACACTACCCGCTACGCTGCCCATTATCCGGCTACGTTGGCGTTGACACTACCCATTATCCGGGTGCGTTGGCGTTGGCGTTGGCTGCATTGGCGGCTTTCCGTCGATGCTGGTGCGCTCGGGCGCCCGGATCAAACTCACAAGCGTCGAACGGACTTGGCGGAGTACCGAGCGGAGTAAACAAGACAATCCCCGACATCACCGAGAAGCCGGGAGTCTGCCAAAGTGGGTGGGAGGTGGGTTCTCGGAACCACCGGGTAATCCTCGCTTCGGCCTTCCCTCGCTCGACGGAGTCGACGGTGTCAGTGTGAGCTTTCTTTCTCCACAAGATGGGGGTTTGAACCCCTCCTCCTTCTCTTGATTCTGCCACTTTTGCCTTTGTGCCAAAATTCGCAGCGAGGGAGAATGCTGGAGGTTCGTTATTGTGTTGGGAATGTGGAATTGATTGACGATACTTGGTGATACGGTACGGATGTTTGTAAGGTACGTATTGTAAGTTACACCAGCCTTCGTCGAAGCTTTCGAAGTGCAGGGGAAGAAGGGCAGGGCAATGCCAAGGGATTGAGCTTTCCTCCCGCCCTACGGGCTACCACTGCTACCCCGTTAGCGGGTATCAGTGCAGTGCAACTTCAATATAGCTGCCTTATCAGTGGCATTGGGTTGTTGAGATACGGCAACTGTATATGGAGGTAGCAGTTGGGCAGGAAGCTATGTGAACTATCTCGAGATCTCGTGTCCTTGCCAGGTCCGATCGGCGGATGGAAGGAGAGCATGGTCTCCGGGGCTACCGAACTGTGCAGTTGCTGCTCGCCCCCTCGTTGACCCCTATCCAAACCCAAACAAAACAACGGAAAGTAAATAAAGCAGGACACTTGAGATCGAATCATGGAAACTGAGATAAAGTATGAACAATCATCGAATGAATGTATTGTTTGTGCAAGGAGAGTAAATATTTGGTATCACATCCATTCATTATTTCCAAAAACCCAACAACCCAGGTATGCAGTGAACAGGAACCGAATACAGATACAATTATGAACAAGAGAAAAACACCGTGTAGTATTCGTCAGAAAAGGGAAGAGGAAGAAGGAAAAAGAATAACACCTTCCCATCCCAAAACCAATGAACACTTTCTATCCGCCCCGAAATCCCGTCCTCATGCACGCGCATACATAATACACAGACCTAGGTCTCCGCCGTGTTGGTAGTTGTTTGACTTTTGCTGCTTCCTTTTTGCTTGGCTTTCTTCATCATCGACATCCCTTGTCGCACATCCTTTACTCGCCCTTGAGCTTGCTCTGGGTAACAGAGAAAGCCATCTCGACAAGCGCCTTCTCCTCCTTGAGGTGAGAAGACTTCTTGCCAGTAGCGACAGAAGCGGAAGGAGCACGGCCAGCGTACATGACGTGCTTGCGGTCGTGGTTCTTGGTGTGGTTAAGGAGAGTCTCGAGGCGAGGCTGAGTGTAAGACCAGGGGCCGGCGTTGAGGGGCTCCTCCTGGGCCCAAACGATGGTCTTGGCGTTAGGGTACTGGTCGAGGTTCTCACGGAGCTGCTCCCAAGGGAAGGGATGGAGCTGCTCGATACGGGTGAAAGCGACGTTGTCGATCTTGTTGTCCTGGCGGTGCTTGAGGAGAGCGGCATAGACCTGACCGGTGCAGAGAATGACACGCTCAATCTCCTCAGGGGCCTTGATCTCACCAGTCTTGTGAGCAGAGTCCTCAAGGATCCAGCGGAAGTGAGCGTCGTCAGTAAACTCCCGATGTCGGAACGAGCGACGGGGTGGCGGAGGAGGGACTTGGAGAAGAAGATGACGAGGGCTAAGTGACAAAGTTAGCATCTTGATGAGATACAGGGCGTTTTAGGCACATGAACTTACGCTTGCGGAACTGTCTCTTCATCTGGCGACGGAGGATGTGGAAGAGGTTAGCAGGAGAGGTCATGTAGGCAACCTGCATGTTGCAGTCCTGGTGCTGACGCTCAAGCTTCTCGGGAGAGGGGTAGATGCGAGGATCCTCGTTGCAAAGCTGGAGGAAACGCTCGATACGAGCGGAAGAGTGCTCGGGACCCTGGCCGTCATAACCGTGGGGGAGAGACATGACAAGGCCGGTACGCTGCATCCACTTGCTCTCGCCAGAGGCAAGGAACTGATCAATGATGACCTGAGCAGTGTTGGCGAAATCACCGAACTGGGCCTCCCACATGTTGAAGCCGTTGGGGTCCTGGAGAGAGTAACCATACTCGAAGCCGAGGATACCATACTCGGAGAGGGAAGAGTTCGAGATGACGAACTTGCCCTGGTCCTTGCTGATGTGCTGGAGAGGAGTGTAGGTGTCCTCAGTCTCCTGGTCGTGGAAGACGGCGTGGCGCTGAGAGAAGGTACCACGCTCAACATCCTGACCGGAGATACGGACGTGGTGGCCCTCGTTGACGAGCGAACCAAAGGCAAGAGCCTCAGCGGTAGCCCAGTCAATGCCCTTACCCTCAACAACAGACTTGGTGCGGTTGGTAAGGATACGCTTCAGGTTGCGATGGGGCTGGAAGCCCTCGGGAGTGCTGCCAATGACGGTACCAATGTGCTCAAGAGTCTGCTTGTTAACAGCAGTAGGGTTGTGGGGCAGAACCTCGGTAGCAAGCTCCTTGGGGCTCTTGAAGCCGTTCCAGGCGCTGGTGGTCCACTCCTTGGAGGTGGGCTGGTAGTCCTTGGACTTGGAGAAGCTCTCCTCGAGCATGCCCCAGACCCACTGCTTGTGCTCCTCGATGTCCTCCTTGGTGAAGGTACCCTCCTTGAGAAGCTGGTCAACGTAGGTGTCGATCTGAGGGTTCTTGGCGTTGATGCGCTTGTACATGAGGGGCTGAGTGAAGGAAGCTGGTCGGTCTCGTTGTGGCCGTGCTTGCGGTAGCAGACAAGATCGATGATAACGTCCTGCTTGAACTCGGCACGCCAATCAGCAGCGAGCTGGCAGACAAAGTTGACAGCCTCGACATCGTCAGCGTTGACGTGGAAGACGGGGGCGTCGATGGCCTTGGCGATATCCGTGCAGTAGGCAGTGGAGCGGGCAAAGCGGGGGTCAGTGGTGAAACCGATCTGGTTGTTGACAACCAAGTGGATGGTACCACCGGTAGAGAAGGCGGGGAGAGAGTGGAAGCCCAAGCACTCGTAGACGATACCCTGGCCAGCGACGGCGGCATCACCGTGGAGGAGCACACCCATGGCGCTCTTGTGGTCCTTCTCGTCGTTGTTGTAGTGCTGGATGGCGCGGACCTTGCCGAGGACGACGGGGTCCTCAGCCTCGAGATGCGAGGGGTTGGCAACGAGAGAGAGCTGGACGCGCTTGCCGGAGGGGGTAGGGCGCTCGAAGTTCATGCCCAAGTGGTACTTGACGTCACCGGAACCCTCCTCATCGTCGGAGAAGATGGCCTCGTTGGGCTTGCGGACGACGTTGGAGAGGACGTTGAGACGGCCACGATGGGGCATACCAATGACGATATCCTTGACGCCGTAGTCAACGGAGCGATCGATAAGAGCCTTCATACCGGGAACAAGGGTCTCGCAACCCTCAAGACCGAAACGCTTGTCGTTAGGGTACTTGGTGGCGAGGAAAGACTCGAAGCTGGACGACCAGATGAGGCGGTCGAGGATGCGGCGCTTCTCATCGATGGAGTACTTGAAGGGCTGGGGGATCTCGAGACGCTCACGGAGCCAGTCGCACTTCTCCCTGTCGGGAATGTGGATGAACTCAACACCGTAGGAGCCGCAGTAGATGTTCTCGCAGGCGTCGACGATCTCGCGGAGGGTCATCTTTTCACGGCCATCGCGGGCGAAACGGGGGAGAATACCGGGGCCGAGGCTGTACTCGGTGTCGAGGTCCTTCTCGGTGAAACCGTAGTATTCGGGGGTGAGCTCCTTGGGCTTGATGTTGCCGAAGCCCTTGGAGGCATCGGTGTTGCGGATGCCCAGAGGGTCGATCTTGGCCTTGTGGTGGCCACGAGCCTGGTAGGCGCGGACGAGGAGCTGGACCTTCAAGTGGTTGGTGACGTTGGCACCCTCGCCAATGCCGACGCCGGCGCCAGCAGCGATGTTGGGCACCACGTTGGCGGCACCGGGAACCAGGGTGGGAGGAGGCTGGAAGGCCTGGGAGATGGGCATGTTGCCGTTCTCCATGTTCTTGAAGTAGACCTGCCACGAGACGTGGACGCTCTTGGGGTCCTCCTTCCACTGCATGTACATCTCGTCGATATAGTTGGCGGCGCTGCCCGAGAGGAAGTTGTCGTTGGGGTCGGGAGGGCTGTGGAGAGCGCTCTCATTGCGCCTCTGCTGGGAGACGGCCATGGGACGGCGGCCGACGGCGGGCTTGAGGGTGGCCCTGGTGGTCTGGGAGACCTGGGAGAAGCATCGTTTTGAGGCACCTGCGGTCTGCAGGGCCCGGATAGAACCGCGCAACATGATGGGTGGACTGTTGTGAGAGGTGAGGGTATTAGGACGCAGAAACCGAAAGCAGACTTCAAACAGCGGGGTTTGTCTTGTACAATCTGGTAGAGGGGAGATGGGTATGCGCAAAAAGGCAAAAGGAGCGGCGGAGTAAGTCTGGGTTCTCGGTCGTCGTCGACTCGGAGAGGGGAATGGGGGAGAGAAGACGAGAGGATCGGGATTTGGGGGGAGGGGGAGGACAGACGCTGGTGTTTTTGATGTTGGTTGTCGGGAAGAAGGGGCGGGAAGGAGAAGACGGAGCGAGGCCGACAAAAGCTTGGCCGGTTAGTTTGGACGTGGAGGCGGTTTCGTGAAAAAAAAGGGCCTCACTGCGTGTCGAGTTGCTCCGTCCACTTGCCCACTGGAGTCGGTCGACCTGCGTTGAGTGCAAGAGCGAGTGCTGTGCTGTGCATCCGCTCCCCGGGCTGTCTCTGTGGAAGTGACAGAAGTAGCTCGTACAGTGGGCACCAGGGGAGATGCACGGTCCTGCGGAGGACGATGACGGCACCTGCTGAGGCTCCCCCCTTGGCTCCCGCTGTTGCACCGCTACAAGTCCCCGTGGATGCTTCTCTTGGCCCATCGCTTTAACATTGTGGAGCCGGCGAACGGGGCGAGCTTGTCGATTTCTCGCACTGGGAACTTGTTCAAGACTCGAGGAACAACAGCAAAGTCTCTCAAGTGTAGCCGCAAATTTATCCCTGCTACATACACGAACAAGTCACGAAAGAGGTTGTTACTTGTTGCAAGTGGCTGGAGAGTGTCTGAAAGCATCATACATGCACAAGTCTCCATCTACTAGAATCCTCTATAGAGTATAGGCTATTATGCACATCTGTACAGGAATTCCCTCCCTCTGTCTTCCAAAGTCAAGACGGAATTCACGGTTCGAGCGGTGACCACGTAAACAGCAAAAGCAACCGGAAGTCATGGAGTTTTTGCGGTTCAAGGGAGGAGCACTGGCAGAAATGGCTCCATGACAAGTCATCAACAAGCTGGAAACTGTGGAAGAGCTGGAAGTTACGGTCTGGAGAGTCGTTGTCAGTGCTGCTAATTATTTCATTACGCATTGGCTCCCGCACTTCCCGCTGACTTTGACTGGAGGCTCCCTTTTCCCCGGAGATCACGGTTCCCGTCTTTTTTGGAGCAACAAGGAGCAACGCCACTGCATCCAAAGTGAGTAATCTTACCAATTCAAGGTGGGGCAAAACTGGGACGTGGAAATGTACGGTAACGTTTTCGGTTCCATCCTTCGAACGAACTTTTCGAAGCTTTGCATCGAACTGATGGAACTGCGCTAGTCAAGACATGGTCGATGTGTTTTGAGTTTTGGGGTTCGCTACACTACCGAGACTACACTACCACTGACCGCCTTGTGACTTTTTTGAAGTCATATCCAAGCCCATTTTGTCTGAAGCGAATAGAGTCTGGATCTCTTCCATCTCGTCTCGAGGGTTGTCGAAATGACAGTTGAAGGCTGGTTTCGATTGTGTAATTGACCACATATAAAATCCTGCATCGTCAGCTGCCACCGTCTTTTTTATTATCCGATCTCATGAACCAGTTGCGGCATCGATCGCACGTCCCAGTGTCAAACCTGCCCTTCCCCATTGGCTGGCCGTGACAGGTTCGCCTGTTGTCCAAGCTCTGCGCTGGTTTCAGTTGCTTGGCATTTCCCAGCAGTTCGTTGCCCAGAGCTCGCCAGAGATCTAGCCTGGCAGCTGCCCTGCCAGTGTCAGGCCAGTCGGTTCAAAATCTCCCGAGCTGAACGAACCGCTTCGAGTCTTTGACAGGGCGACCATGGGAATTGTTAGTGCTCCACTGTAGCCTAGCCTCAGGCCCTCAGCTGCCGCCTGCCTGCTGCGCATAAACTCACCACTCACATCCAGCAACAACATCCGCAACGGCCAACGCCTCTTTCAAGACTGACGGACGGGACCTGGATTGGGCTTGCTTGGCATTACATACTACTACACTGCATCACCACGTTCCTCGTCTAAAACAAAAGGCATCCCGCCGTGTACCTTGACGACTCTCTCTCTCTCCGATATCAGTAAGGCGTAGTACACGAGCACGCTGTAACATTGGATACCGCATTGATACATCCTTGTCAAGGAAGATCGCGAGGCTGATCCATCTTTATAAGACACCGGACTCGGATTTATCCTACAAGAGACAAGTATAAAGAACTACGGACTGGGAACTGGGCGTGGACTTTGGAGATCCGAAGGGCGGATAGGGAGGACTGTCAGTCCGTACCTCCACAGCCTAGGCGTCGTCAGCCTCCTCTAGGCAGCCAACATGGCCCCGATTGAGATTCCCCGGGGACGGGCCTCTTTCAAGAAGAGAGAGGGCATCATCACATTGTCCGAAGACAAGACAGCCCTGATATGGAGTCCCTTACCGGGCACTGGCCCGCCCGTCATCTCACTTTCCGTATCCAACATCATAAACCTCCAACAGACTCCCAAGACTAATCCCAAGGTCGTCTTAAGGGTCGTCGAGAAGCCCAAGGCCCCTGGCGCCGATCCGGCTGCCTACCCCTTCCAGTTCACACACGGCACCGAAGCCAGGAATGAGGCCGATGCTATCAAAGATATTCTCTCTCAGATCATTGCTGAGCTTCGTGGTGACGACCCTTCGCTACCCAAGCCGGCAAAGGCTGGCCCTAACGGCGCCGGCGCCTCTGCCGCCATGGCCATGGCCAGTGCCGTGAACTCGAAGCATTTGCCGTTCCGCTGGTTCGAAGACGACATGCTAAAGGCCGATGTAGAACTTCAGCAGTCTCTCATGAAGAAGGATAAGGCGTTGGCTCAGATATACAACGACGCAAAGTCGTCCAAACCAGACTCGTTATCGGATACCTCCTTCAACAATCAGTTCTGGGCCACCCGCATCACCCTGCTACGTGCATATGCCATCGAGTTGAACCAGAAGAAGGGCTCATATAACGTCTTATCAACAATCAAGCCACGAACCGAGAATGGCGAGCTCAAGTTGAACATCAACCATGAGCAAGTTCAGCTCATCTTCCAACAGCATCCTCTCGTCAAGCGGATCTACAACGAGAACGTCCCCAAGCTCACAGAATCTGAGTTCTGGTCCCGCTTCTTCCTCAGTCGCCTATCCAAGAAGCTCCGGGGCGAGCGCATCACGGACAACGACAACACCGACCCCTTATTCGACAAGTATCTCGAAGCCGACAACACCATGGCCGTGCCCGCCAAGATCACCGCTACCAGCGTGCCACCCATCATCAACATCGAAGCCAACGAGGAGAACCAGGGCGGGTTCCGGTCAGGCAACCTCAAAGACGTCGAGATGCGCCCGCGCGCCAACATCCCCATCATCCGAACCCTCAACTCGCTCTCCGAAAAGATCATGGCCAACGTCGCGCCCTCCGACGTCGACCCTTCGGCACCCTCCTACTCCAAAAACGGCATCGCCGACGCTTTATCCCAGCAACTCGCCCTGCAGGACCTCCGCGGCGACGCCGAGGCGCAGCTCATCCGGCTTTCCGTCAAGGACACATCCACTTTCTTCACCGGCAACCAACCCTCGCTCACAGACCAAGAAGCCGCCGACGCGCGCCTCTACGCCGCCCAAGTGCCCTCGGACGTGCTCTTCGAAGTGCAAGCAGACATGGACACTCTCCACTCCGACAGCCGGGGCGGTATAGATCTGCACCGATCCATTGGCGTCGACCCGGACTCCGAGGACGAAAGCACCTCCTTGGATTCGAAGAATCCAAAACCGCAACACGTCGGCTCCCGCGCCTCGCTGCGCTTCGCCCAGACGCAAATCTTAGATGGCATGAAATCTGCCCGCTCTCACCTCACTTCTCACGGATCCCACACCACAAACGCGTCAGAAGAACGGCCCATGTCGTTACCCACCGACATCGCGCATCGCGCGACACTTACCTGCGCTACCACAGCTGAATTCCTCAAGCAATTCTGGACTGTTTTCAACAGCACCTCCACCACCTTGGACCCAGAGAAAGCACAAGAACTAGCCTACCTGGCCGACTCTCTCACCCGCTCCAAGCAACGCATCGAGGCTTTAGCAGAAGAAGCGGAGAAGCGGAGACAGGAAATCATGGAGAAGAGGAAGAGGGAGATTAGAGAGTATTATCAGAAGACGGGGAGGAAGGCGAGGTGGGTCCCTGTGGGAGGAGGGAGGGATGCGGTGTGGGCGGTTTTTGAGGGCATGGTGAAGGGGTTGGAGAGGGCGGTGGGGGTTTGGGAGATGGTTAGTTCGGGAAGATTGTAGTGTAGTGTGGGTTTTTTGGTTTGTGGGTGAGAAGGGAGGGAAAGAGGGGATTGGTGGATGTGGATGTGAAGAGATGTTGTTGGGGAATGAATGGTGATGGGAAAGGGGTTGGTGAGCGGAGGTGCTGAGAGGGTGATAAGATATTTGCTGTTGATGTTTCTTGAGAGTGAAAAGAGTTTCAAGAGTATATAGAGAAGAGGACAGAATGGTTTACAACAAGAACCTCCAGGCTGGAAATAATCGGGTATTAAGGATGAAGGAGAAAGAGAACGAAAATGGTTATCATTATTATGCTCAAGGTTATGGTTTTGGTTGAAGAACAATGATTCAAACACTGAGTGAGGAAGAAGAAGAAGAAGAGGAAGAAGATTCGGCACTGGTGCATATACATCTGTGGAGATGAACAGAAAGACAAGATTGTTCATGTGTGACATCAAACTCACATTTCGCAAGCAAACACAATATCATTCAACTCGTTGATATGAGTTAGTCCAAGTAGAAGAAAGAAAGTAATAGTTTGACGTTTACATATAAAAAGACTTCATTCATTGAACCTATAACCAAAAACTCCTTTCATGCTCTTGCTCTGCTCTGTGCTACGTAAGACTTGCTAAAACTAACCATTCATCATAAAACCCATCGTTCATAGCCTCAATCCCCCCCTCTTTATCACCCACTCCCACCCACTCCCTCCCTTTCAGTCCCGTCACTCAACATTCCTCACACTCATAACCCCCCTACCAAACCACGCCGCAACAGTCTTAAACCGATCCTCGCTCCTCTCCAAATCGTCCCTAAACAACTCATGCCGTTCCGCATTCTCCTCCTGACTCTTCTTCAGCGCCCTAATGGTAGCATTATCCTTAGCACACAACGGACACTCGGCCTCTCCATCACCCGCTTCTCCGCCAGCCCCAGTCCCAGCTGTTAAACCACCACCAGCAGTAATATTAACCCCCGCAACCCCCCTCAAACACCTTCCATGGAAACTATGTCTGCACAAAAAGTGCACAACGGGAAGTTCCCTCTCCAACCCGCCTCCACACACACCGCACCGCGTAGCCTGGAAAACCTGCGGTTTGGTTTCTAGCTCTTCGAGCTCCTGCCGTCTCTGCTCTGTTTCCTTCCGGAAGGCTTCCACGTCTCGTCTGTTCTCCCTGATCTCTTTGCGCTCGCGCTCTATCCTTCCTTGCAGGTAGGGCTTTAACATACCCATTGTTGCCACGCCGTGCTTACTTAGTGTCTGGACAACCTGGAGGGGCGCCATGAGGCCGTCGCGGTCGATCTTCTCTAGGATGGACGAGAGCTCGGCTTCGCCTGCTTCGGAGAGGATGGTGGGTGAGCTGGTGAGGTAGGAGAGGGCGAGGGGGTAGAGTTGAGGCTCAGAAGGGCCGTATTTGCGGAGGGCGCGGATAGCGCCCTTGGTGTCTCGTGCCGAGGTGTAGGAGCGGAAGATGTCGAAGAGGAGGTTGGATTGTTCTTGCATTAGGACGGTGCCGGTGCGGAAGGAGGCGAGGTGGGAGAGGAGGAGGACGTTGGAGTTTTCGATCTTGGGCAGGGTGCCTGGGGTTATGGGTGGTGGTGCTGTGGCGAGAGTCTCTTTTGAGGGTGATGAGATGATGAGAGACTTGGCTTTGGATTCCCATTCTTCTCGGTGTTGGTCGTCACCTGGCTTCTCGTTGGCTTTGTGGAGGTACATCTCGAAGAGGGTGGTGTGGATGTCGATCTTGTCGGCTTCTGACAAGGAGTTGGTGCCTTCTTTGAGAAGGGCTTCCAGGAAGATGATGAACTCGTCCGGATGGTCGATGAAGGAAGAGAAGGCCGTACGAGGACGGGGAGGTGTATACTTCGGTGTTGCCGGCTCCTCCGGCTTGACCACCTCGGCATCACTGACGGTTGGCTTGGCTGCCGCCTGGTTGTTTGATGATACAGCTAATGGGTTCATGTATGGTAGTGGCAAGAGGTTGCTGAGGTTCTGGACAGCGTTTGCAGCTCCCGTTACAAAGCCTCCCCCGTTGTTTGTGACAGGAGCATCTGGGGACGCAGCAGGAGGATCGATCCTTGGCTTATATTTGCTGGTATAATAGTCGACAAAAAGACGTGTTGCGTCCAGTGAACAATGTTCAATGAGCACGCGGGCGTACTTCATAAGACAGGAGTAGGCCTGATCGTGTTAGCTCTTACTTCGACACCACTCCCTCGATGCTGTGTCAGGTAGACTTACTGTGCCAGGATCCAAATGCCAGATGAAGTCAAGCGCATCGTCAAAGGCCTTGGAATCCTCAATAAGGATGTCAACGACAAGGTCGTTCTCACCATGTTTCTTGGCAAGATATGCGGCTTGGTCGTAGTAGCCGCCTTGCCTGCACATGGAGATGGCCGTATCCAAATCGAACTTGAGGTCTCCAGGGGACTTGATGAACTTCTCCAACTTGTCCACATCCTTCAACTTGGCATAGCAGTTCAGCAACAAAGTGGTATGATCCGACGTCGCTTTGCCACGTTCATGGAGCTCCTCGAGATACCCGATAAGGTTGTGTATCCTCTGCGTGTCCAAGAACTTTCTGATGACCTGAGACGGTTCCGTGGTATCGATTGCCTTGATATACTGAGTCATAGCCTCGTCGTAGTTTCCCTTCTGGTATAGGTAGTCGCCGTATTTTCGGAATATGATGCACTGCTGGTGCGCGTCCATGCCGGATTTCTGAGCCAGCTCAACGGCGAGGGTGTAGAGGTTTCGTTGGTAGAGCATGTCGAGTCTCTGTTGTAGTGATTTCTCGTGATAGCGGAATACCTTTGATGTGTCAGTCTTGGAACAACCCCGGAGACACCAGAGCAGCCTACCTGTCCTTCTTGTGTAATGGTAAACACGTCACCCCATATCTGAACAATGTGCTTGACATCTGACAGGACAGACTCGCTGTGGGCGATGATCCTAAGGGCCGGATGTATGAGCGTAAATGTGAAGATGCTGTCGGCCGTGGCACCCCAGAATCGTCGTCGCATGGTGTCCGACTCCCCAGTATTAGTGGGCGGAGAGACAAGAGCAATGTAGTCCTGGTACACCGAGACCAACTTCTTGGGCGCTTCGTATGCGATGGGCGGCCCTCTCCCCTCCAGCGTGTAGTAGTATATCGCATCGTCCCGGCCAACCACGATATCTCCGGTCTCCTTGTCGACCGACATGCAGCCAACACCACAACCCTGGTCCTCAACCGTCCTCGGTGGCTGGCCATGGCCCTTGCCTGAAATCGCCAGCTTCAATATCCTCGATGTAGTAGCGATGAACAAAGTCGTAATGTTCGCGTCAAGGCGCAGTTCGACGCCCGTGATGGGCTCATCCGACTCGTAGATTATGCGCTGCTTCGTGCCCAGATCGTGGATCAAGTCGCCTCGGATAACAGTAACGGCGCCGTTCGCAAAGCCCACAGCGAGCTGGGACAGGTCTTCGGTCGCGGTAAAGGCGGATATCGGAAACGGTTTCTTGCCATTGTTGATAGCAACGGTGCTTAGGCAAGTCGGAATGCCTGTCTTCTTGACCGGTTTGTCGAGAGCCCAGACCTTGAGTATAGGTTGGTTGATCGAGTCGCTGGTGCTGGGTTCCTCCTACTCATAACAACAACATATGTCAGTAAGCCTGGCATGTTTTCCCTCTTCCAAGACCTCCAAGCGCGTGTAAGTCGCCGTCGCAACAAACGTACAGCAACGGTGACTAGCAAGCTTGTGCCCTCGACCTGGCGCATATGGGTAATGGGCCCCGTCTCGTATGCCTTGAAGCTCCGGACTATCTTCCAGCTGAGCCCAACTATGTGAACGTGGCCATCGTAGGTGCCGAGGAAGAGGCTATCGGAGCCGGAGCAGACGCTGGAGATGTCATTGCTCTCGAAGAGGGCGCGGGTCTCGTCGTCGGCGATCTTGATCTTGGTGGCATCAAAGAAGTCAAACGACCTCCACGTCAACGCCATGGTCGCATTTTCATTCGGTAAATTGTTGTTGTTGAGGTTGTCGCAAGGAACGGTGCCGTGGTTGGAGATGATGGCAGTGGGGGAAGCTGTTGTTAGAGGAGCCTCAGAGGTACCTAATCGGGTGGTACAGCGTGGGCCAGTGACGATTGCCTGCAAGGGTCCGTTGAGCTACCATCTGTTGGGGGCGTCATATTCAACCCTAACCCTTATACGGTATTCGACACAAGCCTTGACAACTTACACGGGACTACAAAACCACAGGGCTATTTAAATGGCCAAATACGGCACGTTCGAGGGATTGATCAAAGTATGTCATGTATGTACACTAAATTCTCTTCGTACAACTATGTCCGTCTATCCGTAGGGGCGTGGTTGTTTGCAGCCCCAGCGAGCATATCATCTGCTGCCTCCAGCTTCGATCCGAGTCCCGCTTGAACGTATTCCCAATTTCCGTCACTCTTTGCCATCAATGAGAGGTCATCGGAAGTGACTCCCAGGAAACACCTTGTTCAACCACTCAGATAGGCTGTTCAGAGAAGAATCCGACACCTTGAGCCCCTGCCCGGCGGTAGCCGATTTGAGAACTGCGGCCCAGTCCTTGATCTCGTACAGTTTTACTGCACTCTCATCGTCTGAACCCTTGGCCAGGGCTTTGCTGATCATTCCGTCGTAGAAATCCTTGTCTGTAGCGGGACCTTCGTATTTGAGACCAGAAACATTGGCGGTCTGGATCTCACCATGGCGGAGAGTGAACTCGATGTTGAACTAAAGACATGTTAGCCAGCTTGATCTCCAAAGAAGAGCGTTTCCGAGGCCTCCTTAAGACGCGGAGAAATTACTTACATCTGACTGTACGTCAAGGTCAAGCGGCGGGCGTTCCCTTGGGTCATCTTCAGTTGGACGAGAAGAGAAGGTGAACTGGGGTGTCTGGCCGTATATCCAAGGAATAGACTATCGGATATGAGTATAAATCACCGACAATGAGAGATGGGCTATTGGGGCTTCTTGTGCTTACCGTCAACTCGTCCATGCCCTTGCGGATATTGCTCATGTCCTTCAAGTCCTCCCCAACACGCTCTACTGTTACATCTTCACCAAACTGCTCTTCGTACATGGCGAGGAACTCGTCCACAACGCGCTTGTTAAACTCCTGCGTGTCGACATCAACATTCCGAATCGGCGATCTCACACTCTCCACGCCCCTGGCCTTGATATACGGCTCACCGGGACTTCTCAGGAACTTGCCAATGTTTTTCAACTGCGGGGAGTTGAGCAAACATGTGCCATGGTGAAGTGACCTCAACCTGGTAAGCTTGTAGGCGGACCCGGATACCTTGAAGACATCCTTTCCATTGCCCCTTCCGTCACCGGCAATAACAATGTCGTGACGCTCGTTGACCTTGGCGGTGGTAACTCCCAGGTCCTTGAGCGCGCGGACAACCATCTCGGCATGCCTGTCTCGGTCGAAGACAGCAGGTGGGCAGATGACGCTCCAGTTCACATTGCCATGGTCATGAAAGACGGTGCCTCCACCGGAACGGCGACGGACCAGTTTAATGTCCTCTGTTTCTTGCAGGGCAGGCAAGTTGACTTCAAGCCATGGGTTTTGGTTACGTCCAATGACGACGCAGGGGTCATTGATGTAGAGAAAGAGGACGTAAGAGTCTGGGTGTGAATGTTGGAGAAGGTGGTGCTCGATGGAGAGGTTCAGGTATGGGTCATTGGAAGTTGACTGATAGACCTGAACCTTTTTGTTCAACAGATCTTGGCTGATGGTTGTGCTATAAGACCGGCGGAGTTTGGTGAGACGAGAGAAGCCAAGTCTGGACGAGATAGTAGTTGTGGTGGTAGTGCTGATAAAGGCCGGACCCTTTGTCAAGCAACGAATGCCACCGGTTGTGCTTCGCAGGAGCAAGGCGGCCATCTTGGAGTGTCTTTGATGTCTACTGACTGGCGTCAGTCTCACTCATCCCACTCCGAGAGAGCCGGCCTCAAGCTGTTGAAGGTAGGTAGAGGTTGCCATACTGACAAGACGACGACGACAGGACTGGATAGCTCTGAGTGGAAGTGATCAAGGCATCCCCGGATGACTTTTGATCCACTTGTAGATGTCAAACGGCAAGGCGGGTTCCAGCGGCGTTGACGTTCCCCCCTGTAGATTTCAGCTTCAGCTTCATCAGCTTTCGCCTTACCCAACCCTGGCGGTTCCGGGTAATTGGTGAAACACCAAAAACCCTCCGTGTCGGTGACTACAGACGCAAGGTGTGGTCCGTGCTCCGATCTGGATCCTTAGCGGCAGCCAGGGGTCCTTGGGGGAGGCCGATGACGGCGTTCGAGGGGCATCTCTCTTTCCTCTTTGGAATTTGGACAGATTCCCCTGGTCTGACTTCGTTTCTGGAAGAAGACTTAACCTTTGAGTCTCTGCAGTCATCTTTTGTATTTAAGGCTGTAGAATATCGTGAACATCATCAACACCGGGGTTCTAGCTTTCGTGCAGATTGTTGGCCAGAACTTCCACTTTTTATTTTCTGTGACGATCCCCAAAGACCCCTGTCTGAGTCACCATCAGGGCCACCATCACGCCTTCTTTCAGTTCATAGCTTACAAGGCAACTTTGAACTTCCTCCTCCCTCCGCATCTTCTCCGAATCGCATCAAACCCACCGCAACCATGTCTACCTTTGGCCAGTATTTCCGTGTCACGACGTACGTCTGCAAAAGCACTGCAACGCCAATTGGCATCATCAATCGTTAACAAAGCAACAGCTATGGCGAGTCGCACTGCAAGTCAGTCGGCTGCATTGTCGATGGCGTCCCTCCCGGCATGGAGCTCACCGAGGATGATATCCAGCCCCAAATGACCCGCAGACGTCCCGGACAGAGCGCCATCACCACCCCAAGAAACGAGAAGGACAGAGTCATCATACAGTCCGGCACTGAGTTCGGTGTCACTCTTGGAACACCAATCGGCATGCTGGTCATGAACGAGGACCAGCGCCCCAAGGGTGAGTTCCGACCGCTACATCACAAGGCTCTTTGTTCTGCTTGTCACTAATGTTTTATTCTGTTCAGATTACGGTAACAAGACCATGGACATGTACCCCCGTCCTTCCCACGCCGACTGGACCTACCTCGAGAAATATGGTGTCAAGGCCTCTTCCGGTGGCGGCCGCTCCTCCGCCCGTGAGACCATCGGTCGCGTCGCTGCTGGTGCCATCGCCGAGAAGTACCTTAAGCTCGCCTACGGTGTCGAGATTGTCGCCTTCGTCTCCTCGGTCGGCTCCGAGCACCTCTTCCCTCCCACGGCCGAACACCCCAGCCCGAGCACCAACCCCGAGTTCCTCAAGCTCGTCAACTCCATCACCCGCGAGACCGTCGACAGCTACCTACCCGTCCGTTGCCCCGATGCTGAGGCCAATAAGCGCATGGAGGATTTGATCACCAAGTTCAGGGATAACCACGACAGCATTGGCGGCACCGTTACCTGCGTCATCCGCAACGTTCCCAGCGGCTTGGGCGAGCCTGCTTTCGACAAGTTGGAGGCTCTGCTGGCCCACGCCATGCTCAGCATTCCTGCTACCAAGGGCTTCGAGGTCGGTTCCGGTTTCGGAGGCTGCGAGGTTCCCGGCTCGATTCACAACGATCCCTTCGTCTCTGCCGAGAACACCGAGAACCCTCCTAGCGTGGCTGCCAGCGGTGCTGCTCGTAACGGCATTCCTCGCCCCAAGCTCACCACCAAGACCAACTTCTCCGGTGGTATCCAGGGCGGTATCAGCAACGGTGCGCCCATCTACTTCAGAGTCGGCTTCAAGCCTGCTGCCACCATCGGCCAGGAGCAGACTACTGCTACCTACGATGGTTCTTCGGAGGGCGTTCTCGCCGCCAAGGGCAGACATGACCCCAGTGTCGTTCCTCGCGCTGTGCCTATCGTTGAGGCCATGGCTGCTTTGGTGATTATGGATGCCGTTTTGGCGCAGCAGGCCAGGCACACTGCCAAGAGCCTGCTTCCTCCTCTCAAGCAGACCATCAACTCCGGAAAGGATACCGTAGGAAACGGTGTTTCTGAGAACGTCCAGGAGTCGGACCTCAAGCAATAGGCGGCTTTACGATTTGTGGAAGAGAGAGAATGTGATTAATGTCAAAAGTTATTAAAAGGGATTTTGGTTTTTTTTGTGATACCGGTAGATAGACTCTGTTGGGCGTGTTTCTTGTTTCTATCTTGTACATGATTGAAGGTCTAGAATCAAAGGTGTTCTTGTCCAATATCTTACGTTCCACTGTCTTGGGCCGATATTCTGAGCGTGTCAGCTCGAACCACGTCCCATTCATTTCATCGGCCCATTTCATCTTCATGATCATCCAGACTTCGATGCGATGGAGATGCCGTTGTCGCGGAGCGGGCCGGCAAATGATTTCCCCTGCAGTACGACCGACGACGCCAAATCACATGAGATGGCGCCGTTACAATGCGCTAAACTCCCCATAAGCTGATGCGGGAAAGCAGGGGGTCCAATGGAATCCCGATGCTATGCGACGTCACTTGGCGATTGGAGAACTGACATCCATCCGTTCGTGTGTTCCGTCAACTTCGACAGGAAGCTCCGGGACAATCTCCCATCCCTTTGTAATTCCCCTTTCTCTGTTGTGTATGATAGTTTTACCCTTTGTCCTTCTTACCTACTCCAGTCTCCCCTATCCCAATTGATCTTATTTTATTCATGGCCGCAAAGATGTCGAGATTCGGTTCCCTTCAAGTCCTCCCCCGACAGCTGCTTCGGACCTCGGTCCACCGGCGTGCTGCCGCCCCAGTTAGCCTTCAAGGTGCCCACCGGACCGCAATCAACAACAGCAGCAGCAGAAGTTATGCGACTTCCAGCAACCAGCGCTCGTCCGAGTCAACTCAACAGCCCAAGTTTGATAACCGCGTGAAGATTGTGGAAGTTGGCCCCCGTGATGGACTGCAGAATGAAAAGAAGTCGATACCGCTGGCGACCAAGATCGAGTTGATCGAGAGGCTAGCAAAGACGGGACTCCAGACCATTGAGGCCGGCGCTTTTGTCTCGCCCAAGTGGGTGCCGCAGGTGAGTTCAGTTTGTTTACTTCCCCTTTCCATAACCTACGAGGTGTATGTATACTCTCGACTAACACCCATCCCCCTCGGACAGATGGCCAACTCCTCCGAAATCCTCGAACACCTCCTCAAGACCCCTCCCCCCTCCCCCGTACCCTTAACCTACTCCTTCCTGGCCCCCAACACCAAAGGTCTTGACTCGGCCTTCTCCCTCCTCTCGCAGTACCCCAAGGCCTTCGAGACCGAAACCGCGGGCCGCTCCAGCAAGGTCGCCCAAGAAGGCGGCAAGCCCGCGCTGGAAATCGCCGTCTTCGCCGCCGCCACCGAGTCCTTCTCGCAAAAGAACCTCAACTGCTCCATCGACACTTCCCTCACCCGCTTCAAGGACGTAATCCAGCAAGCCAAAGCCGCCAACCTGCGCGTGCGCGCCTACATCTCCGTGGTCCTGGGCTGCCCCTTCGAGGGGTATGACGTCGACCCGCACCGCGTGGCCAGCATCGCTACCACTTTACTAGAAATGGGCGCCGATGAGATTTCGTTGGGAGACACGACAGGCATGGGCACCGCGCCGCGCACCAAGGAACTTTTGAGCTGTCTGTCCAGCGCAGGAATCAGGAACGAAGACCTGGCGATGCACTTCCATGATACCTACGGCCAGGCGCTGGTTAACACGGCGGTGGCGCTGGAGCACGGGATTCGCACGTTTGATAGCAGCGTGGGAGGGCTGGGCGGGTGTCCGTATAGCCCCGGAGCGACGGGGAACGTGGCAACCGAGAATGTGGTGTATTTCATGGAGAGCTTGGGGATGGATACGGGCGTGGATCTGGATCGCGTGGCGGATATTGGGCACTGGATTACCAGGGAGATTGGGAAGGCGAATGATAGTGCGGTTGGAAAAGCTGTCCTGGGGGCCAGGACGAGGGAGAGGCCGGAGGATGTGGATGATAAGGGGGCTCCGCTGACGTGAACAGATGCCCGTGTGAGAAGTGAGACGTGGGACGTGGGACGTGGAAACAGGCACGCTGGGTTGACTGAGGGTGGTATGAAGTTAAGTCGGACGTGAAACAGGCACGTTGAACTGAGGATGACAGAAAGATGGAGCGGGGGTTATGATGATGTATATATGGGTTATGGAAGTATATGTATTGTGTGTATGGTCTGGTAAATGAATCGGAGTTAGGTGGTTTAAATGTTGAGCCTGAATGTCGGTCCCATTGAGATGGCATTGGATCCACCATGTGCTCTCGGTTTCATAGGTGCATATGTTCTTGTCGAAGAGCTCTTGAAGTGATGAGCAACTCAGGTTCAAGAGAGACTGGCAGTGTTGCAAAGCCAGGGTTGTTCTGGATGCTTGCGAGGGAGACCTCATACATCTAAGAACTCATGGCAAAGGTCACTAACGGAAGGTTGGATGAATTGGCTGCAGGTGTCGCGAAAGAACTGAATAAGGATGCAACGACGGCCGTGAGAGTCAAGTACTCAAAGAGAGATTCACTCTAATCAAGACCACCAACAGCACACATAATCGATGGCCAGTAGACCGCGCACGAGAGTTGACAAAGACAGAAACAATTGACTTTTGGATCCCCTTACCCTTTTACCTTTTCCTTTCCTTGCCTATCCTTGCCTATCCTTTTCACCTTATATCCCTTCCAACCCCCTGCGGACTCATCCCTCTTTAACCCGCAGCCAACTAGACCAACCTACAACCCATCCTCCCTAGCAAACGAATTCGCCACAATAAACGGAAACGCCGCCGTAGCCTCCATATACACCTTTACGGCATCCGCGCCCACCTTGATTTTCCCCCAACTAACCGCCTCATCCGGTCTCGCACCGGCATCGCTTCCATCAAACTCCTGCGCAGTATTGATATAAACCGCACTCTCCGCCCCATTCCTCATCAGACACGCATTAGCAATATGATGCTTCACAATGCCTCCTCCCAAAATAATCATGCCCGCCCGCTTCGCCCTCACGGCAATGGTGTTGATCCTGCGAATATCCTCGACGATATCGATCTTGAGCTGGCGGGGAGAGGCTTTGAACGTGTGGAAGTACAACATATCCCCCAACGAACCGTCGGTCAGGGCAGGGCAGAATACCGGTATGTCGTTCTTCCAGGCCCAGTAGTAGACCGAGCGCTCGTCGTTTATCTCCTTGCCGAGGCGGTGGATGACTTTGCTCGGTGTCCAGTTTATCTCGTTGTCGGTGTCCTTGGAGGCTTCTTGCTCTTCGAGCATCTTGTCCAGGATGGGAACCACCCAGTCTTCGAAGGCGCAGTAGTTGGAGTTGGGCACGACGAGGTTGCCGATACGGTTGAGACCTTTCGAGCGGAGGTCGGCGCCCGGAGCCGAAAAGGAGGACATGTAAGTGTCCCCGAGACACTTGATGAAATCTTCTTCGATGCCGCCGGCTGTGGTGACGATGGCCGAGACGTGCTTGTGTTGCACCAGGTAGCGCAGGGTGCCGCGCAGCCCGGAGGAGATCAAGTTGGAGGTGTAGCCGAGGAAGATGGTGGTCTTTTCCGAGGTTTGGGGGTCGCGGTAGGCGCGCTGTGAGTGTGTTAGTGTGACTCCTGTCTTTGAATGAGGCTGAGGGATAGGGTGGGTAGGTGAATGTAGGTACCATCTCATTGATAATCCTCACGGCCTCGCACATGGACGAAGCCTGGAATCCCATGTGCTTCATCCCCTGCAACAGGTCGTCGGCGGTGATGGGCCGGCCCTTGAACTTGTTGAAGTCGAGCTCCTCGACTTTTTGAGAGCCCTCGGGCATCTCGATGGATTTCACGAGGACTGCATCGGCGACAGAGCTTGGGATTTGGTTGTCCGCCATTTTGTATGTATATGTGATGTTAGTTGTGATGATGAGATGATGGGGAGTTGTTAAGGTGAGGGTGGACGAGATTGGGTTTATGAGATTTCGGGTATAAGTGAGATGTGAAGTGTGTGGTTGTTTTATTTCGTCTCCAGGTAGGGTACCTAGAACTAAACTCTAAAAGTTCCCAAAACGGGATGCTGGGTCGAGATCTCAGGTGGAGCAGCCACCCTAGCTAGATGGCCCGGCAGGGTTCGTACACAGTAGTTTTAGACACAGGAACCAGGTATAATTCTATTGTAGTGACACTTGCAATAACTTGAATATTAAACACAAGCGAATTTGTGAATGGCTAATCTTTTTCTTTTGGGGGTTTTGTGTATTTGCAAAAGCAGATGTTGAGCTCCAGCACGTTAAGGTAGGTTGAATTCGCCTTTTGCAGTTTTTGAGGTGGTGTTGCTGAAGCTCCTCCACTGTACCTTGCTTCTGCAGCGGCATGATGCCTCGTGTTCGCGCAACGCCGTTCAACTACGCCGCACTCCACGGTCACGTTGAATCTCACTACGTGCATGGAGCATATTGTACATTTGAGTTGTCTCCTATCTTGCGAGATAGGTACTTCCCGCGCATAGTGTGTTCTGCCGTGGCTCGGGAAACGCATCTCAAAAAAGTGCGTGAAGTTGAAGTTTCAATGTCACATGTTGGACCTGATCGCTGATTGGGCGCAAGTCAACGGCGGGGCGAAAGGGACGAAGTCGGTTTGCAAGGTGTCAAGAAGCAATTTGTTCTCGGATCTGTCCTTCAGTCCATTTGGCGGCCATTGGTCAGATTGCAGCTGTCAGCATCAGAATCTGGACCCGTCGTGGTCGTAGACTGTTTATTCGTTTGATACATTGATGAAGACCAGTCCCCAGATGTCGACATTCAGATTGAAGAAAGAAGTTCTGGCCGGGGATCACAGACCATGCCTGATTCGGTCAGATTTCAATGTGGAGATGATTCAATGCTTTTTGAAGAAGCTCGGACCATCGAAGAGCCAAGTGGAAATGGCTCATGTGCGGTTCGCGGATGCCGGGACCAATGTTCAAAAAGATGTCTTGGCAAGTTCGGGAGCTGGGGAGCAAGCAAGCACTGCGACTTTCAAGAAGCCGGTTTTTTTCGTCGTTTCGTGCGTGTCTTCGACAGCCTGCGGCCGCCAATCAGAGGCTGAGACATGGAGATCCGCAATTTGTGCATTTTGCATTTTTTGGCTTTTCTTGAGCGAATCGGGTCTAGCGCGAGTCCGCCAACCGCCCCCATGCTCGGGCTCCCATTGGGTTTAGTGGCAACTCGTTGAACTCGGGGGCGCCACCCAACTCGTCGACAAGTCCGAGGGTACGTACCGGTACTGTACGTACATGGACTCGTTTCGGTCGGTCTGTGATTGAATGTGTGAGGTGACAGTGGGTGACATTTGACGGGGTTGAGATGAGGAATAGGAACGGTGCGACATTAGACATTGGCGTCGGCAGGGCATCTTAGGCACCGATTGAATGCCAAAGGCACTGCACGCAGGCAAAGGGGGAAATGTGTGTGTGTGACTGGGGCTGAACCGCAAATGCAGTGCGGTCAGTCTGTTGGTTTGAAGGGAATCCCGCCAATTCCATCCGTCCCCTCCATCTTTCCATTTCTTGGCCGCACGAGCCACTTTTCAAGATTCGAGATGCGTTGCTGAAAACAGAACAAAACGGGACAAATTCAAGATCCACACATTTCCCTCTTCCTTCCAATCTTCATCTCCCGCTTCGGTCTTCAATCCAGCCCTTTCCCGGACTGCCATCTCGATCCAACGACGTGCCCTGCCAATCTGCCACCTTTTATCGAAAGTGTCACAAGTGTACCTATGTACCTTTACTTTTGCCTTACCGTATCTTTAGACCCTGGTACATATGGCTAACCCCGGAAATCCAAGTGGCATCCAGAGTCCAGGCCGGTATCCGCGTGCGTTCCCAGGGTTCTTTACCGTACCTTACTTACCACGTTACCGTAACCTCGCAGCCTTGCTTTCCAGGGCTCCACTAGTGTAACGTGAAGCTGGAAACCCCCTCCGTCTCCGCTGGGTGGGAGTGTCCGCTAGTCCGCTCGCCGACGGGGATTCCAGCAAGTTGAATCTCGAAAAGAAGGAAGGAAGCACCACACGGCAGCGAGCCGAGAACTTGACAGGAAGTTGCGAGACCGACGGGACGGCACTACAGGCTACAGGCTACAGGCTACAGGCATACAGGCTACCGTGGCAGAGGGCCCTTCAGAAGACAGGCCTTCCATAATCATCATAGGTACTGTTAGGGGTTTTCGATCTCTGCCCTGGGCCGACATCGTTCCATTGAGCTTCTTTCTTAACCGACCATAGGCGACGAATCCACACCACGGAAGAGGAACGTGCATTGACTTTTTTTGTCTTGTTGGTGGTTTTTGGACTTTGCAACTCGCTCCCATCAGAGACCGACGGACAATAGAAACAAGAACAGGTACCACCGGGTGACACGCGTTTGCCATCATTTCAGCCTCAGCCGCACTTTGAGTGACTTCAGTTCCACGTTCATTCATTCATCCATTCATTCATTCCACTTTCAACGTCTGGACTGTTTCCGACGGTACCTATTCGTTATTCGCCTGGAGTCACTGCAGCCCTGGACCGACGACGGGACAACAACCAAAACCCACCTACCGCCTGAGGAGGTAACTGCCCTGCAGGTGGAACTGGAACTAAACATCCCATCTTCAACATTTTGCTCATCCCATCTTTTGTCCAACAGCGCCACCCCGTTCCCCACGTCACATCACTCTAGGCCCGTGACCTCGCTCCGTGTCGGCAACTCGAAGCTGCCAGAGCGTAGCATCCGTTCTGCGACCTTTGCAGCCATCATTCCCACCACCACCGACTTCAAGGAGCAGCAACAACAACAACAACAACAACAACACCACATCACAACACACACCTCACCGATAGCACCACATTTGATAGTGTCATCGACGACAACAACACCACCGCCACCAGAACCAACACAACAATCAACACAATCAGCATCTCCTCGATATACAGTATATACCATCAAACACAGCATTGTGTGGGCCCCCGGATGCTGCGCCGAGCCGTCTAATCGATACTCAAGGGCGCAGGCCCTCATTGCAAATGTATGTGTCTTCATTATTATACTACCACATCAGTATCCATACGCCTGCCGTAGAAAGCACGCGTCTCTTCTACGTGACGCACCAGCCCGAACGTCTGCTGCGTCCGCGGCCACCTAGGCCAACAAACGCGATATCTACAAAGCCGAAAGGGCGGCCTCAAACGCCAACTTATCGTGCCCAACAACCGCCGCGCCAATGTCCTACTTCCATCACCACCAAGACAACGATCACCGCCATGACAGTGTCCCACACCCTCGCCATCTAGCCGCCACCACCTCTCCCTCCTCCCCTCCACTGCCGCCTCCTCCTCTTCCTCTTCCTCTTCCTCCTCCTCACCATCACCGTGGCCAACACAACCGCACCCCCTCCTACCACCACAGCCAGCACTACACTCCTCCCCCATCTGCTCACCACTATGATTCCTACAGGTCAAGGTACAACGGCAGTAGATACGACGGCGATCGCCGCTCCCGCTCGCCCCGGGACCGCTCGCCCCCACCCCCTTACAGAGACCGCGGAGACCAGGGAGACCGCGGCCCGCTCAACTCTCAGCACTTCGACGGTGACCGCCGACGCCAGTCCCAGGCCGACCCGCGCGGCGGCTTCCAAGGACGAGACTCCTTCGCCGGTCGAGAACCACCCCGCGGCCCCAAGGCCCTACTTCTGGATCCACCGAGTGGACCGCGCGGCGGTGGCTTTGCTGGAGAATTCCGTGGTGGGAGAGGTAGAGGCGGCGGACGAGGCGGTCGAGCATGGCGGGACGACAGCAGAGATCGTGGACGAGATCGTGAACCACCCGACTTCCGAGACAACCGCCCACCTTTCAGAGACGACCGTAGCCGCGAACGCGACCGAGAATGGCACCCCCCTAATCGAGACCGCGATGCCTTTGTTCCGAGGGGTCGGAGGCTTTCACCCCAGGGAAGGCCGAGATCTCCACCCGGTCGTGATATGGGGCGGGATATGGGCCGTGACATAGGGCGGGACTTTAGAGATCCTCGGGACATGCCGCTGAACGTTGATGCCGAGCGCGCAAGGCGGGGTTCAAGGGATGCTGGACCTTTATCGGCAGGCTCATCATCGTCTGATCCTCCTTTTGCACCCATCCCTGATCGTGGTATACCAGACCGTGGCATACCGGACCGTGGCATACCGGACCGTGGCATGCCAGACCGTGGAATGCCAGATCGCGGTATACAAGACCGCGGTATGCTGGATCGCGGCATACCAGATCGTGGCGGATTTCGCGGCGGATACAACTCCCGTGGCGGAAACCGCGGCGGCAGAGGAAGAGGCGGCGACTGGGATAGAGGCGGGCGTGGCAGAGGCATGTTTTACGACGACCATAGGGACCATCGCAACTGGCAGCCTCGCAGTCGTTCTCAGGAAAGTCGATGGGGGCCCCAGAGGGATCTCATGGATGACCGGGACCGTAGAGAACCACCTGCTAGGTACATGGACACGGTCAGGGACATGCGCGATGATCGTGACCCCAGGGAAAGAGATAATCGTGAACCACCACCCAGACAAAAGTTGGACCGCGTGTCGCACGAGCCGGTCCCGACGACAGCCAAAGATGTTTCGCCGCCCCCGCTTGCCCCGTCTGCTCCCGCTTTTGGATCAGTTCCTAGCCGTCAACCTTCATCGGCTGAGATCCAATCCGTCACGGGCAAGGCACCGCCGACCGGCCCCAGGGCTCTCATCACCGAAGAAAGGCAGGACAGACCTTCTCCGGCCACTGGCCTCCCTCCCGCCAATATTGAGAGGGGACCCCCAACCGGCCCTTCCAAGCCGCTTTTGCCCGAAGGAAGCCCTCCCATACCGGTTGGCCCGAGAGCCCAGCG